TCTTTTTATTACATGCTGCAAGGATTCCTATAATAAAAAATAAAAAAAAGATTCTGGTGACAGTTGTCCTTTAAATGATTTTTGTTCCCCAGGATTCACAGACATGATAAATATTTGTTCTTACAATGATGTATTAATTGCCTGCAGTGGGTAGGACATACAGTAATTTTCTGGTTTCTTTAGAATAATGGTCCTTGTGGTTGACCATCACCTAATCACTGATCCAAACAAATAGAGCAAGCACAATCCAGAATTTTTCAAGCATTACTGTTTTAATGAAGGACACCAAAAAACACAAACATTTCAATTAGACAACCCTCTCTCATTCTCCCACAGTGGACTCAATAAGAGGCTTGAAACACACAAACTCAACTAACTCTCAGATCGCACCGATTGCAGTGATCAATGATGTCATCGCGTATCATGCGATCACCACCAATGTTAACCAAGAAACTTAGTATGCAGTCAAGGGAGCCCTAGGGAAGAATGAGATCCGCTGCAAATCCGCTATTCAATATGACTACAGCAACTTCTACGCACAAAACGCAACCCAATATTTTTTTTCACTATGGATGTTAGTGGGAGCCTCATGTTTGAGTCTTGCCTAATGCCTTGCAAACAATAAAGCCACCAATGCCAATATTATAACAGTGATGGACAGGGAGTTAAGATGGAATATATCCACCATACTTCAATGACAGCAATGCACATTTTGCATCAGAAACCTACTCAAAGCGATCGCACAGCAATGCACCCTTTTAAATGTCACTGTTTTGGATATTACCATAAAATAAAACATTGACAGGGTTATCTCATAAAGTAAGATTTCAAATTTAATATCAAAATAAACAATTTAGAAAAATGATCTAAGTCAGCTTTCAGTTCGCCTACCATGGCATTACATTTAAAATTCAGTTTGAATTCTAACTTTAGTAAACAGCCCTGTGGAAATAATCTATAACTTGTGAAAAGGAGAACCTGAATAGTCAATCCATTCAGAGCACACATTGGGGGTTATGCATAAAGGAATTGAATTAGGACTTGAATGGCCAATGATTAGATGTCAAATGTGAAATGAGTGACTGTACATTATATTGAAAAATAGGGGATTGTCCACTAAATGCTGCCAGATATAGGTAATCATATCAAAATAAAAACTCAATGCCACTAGATAGATGAGGCAAGCTGGAACATAAATCTACCCTGAAAAGTATAGGTCAGTGATGGGTTAATAAAATGTGTTGTTCCTGTTCCTAAAGATTGACAATTACCATGGAATGTCCCAGCTGACTGCTTCACTTTTAATTCTGCAAAAAATATATATATTTGTATATAAAATGTATATTATATAAACCATGCATCTAGTACACTCACTAACAAGTTTCAATGCTCACCAAGTTTTAAAGTTTTGTTTTAAAAAAAAGTAAAATAAAAACTTAAGTGATGTAAAATTAATGGGGAACTCGTTAGAGTACATAATCATACATTGCACAATGTCAATGTGTCCCATAATGTAAGCATGTTTAGGAGAGTGCAGCCTCCTAGTTTCATATTTATGTGCTGTGTGATTTATTATTATTATTATTATTAGTAGTAGTATTTATTTACCACCAACATATTTCGCAGCTCTTTACAATATTATAAGGGAAGTTTAACAATAAATGGGACAATTACAAAATGATACAGGAACAGATGAGCTTACAGTCTGGAGGAGTGGAGTATAAGGACACAATGTGAAGAGCATCAAGGGGGACAACAAACAAACAATGTGGAAAAGTAACAGAACTAGAGGTGAGAGTGGAGTACAGCTCTTTAGGAGAGAGCCAGAGACACATTTGTGACGTAGAAGTTACTCTGTGAGGCCATAAGCATTTCAAAACAAATGGGTTTTGAGAGATTTCTTAAACGATTAAAGACTAAGAGAGTCTGAAAAGCTTACAGAGTTACTCCAAGAACCATGACTACTCAATTATTTGAAGTGATTATGGTGCTAGAAGACTGTATGTGCAGGAACAACACAATTTATTAACCCATTGTTGACCTATACTTTTCAGGGTATATTTATGTTCCAGCTAGCCTCATCTATCTAGCGACATTGAGTTTTTATTTTGATATGATTACCTATATCTGGCAGCATTTAGTGGACAATCCCCTATTTTTCAATATCATGTACGGTCACTCATTTCACATTTGACATCTAATTATTGGAAATTCAATTCCTACGGCCACTATTTCATTTACCCTGCACAATGTGGTATTTGGTATATCTTTGAACTCTTGAGGCAGCTTATCTCATCAACCCATCATTGATCATTAAACATTTCAGGTAAATTTATATACCAACTAGCTTATTTATCAAGTCAATTTATAGTTGCTATCGCAAATCTTTATTTTCACATTGCCAATTTGTTGTTTGTTTACAATCTGACTTGGGTCCCACCCAGCTGGATGCCAGTTGCATGGATATCACCTTGTCTCCACCCACCATTTTTCGCATCTGCCATTCTCTTCTTCTCCTCTGTTCATTGAGATAGGCTTATCCCTCTGTTAATTTAGACCTATTTTGGATTAGACACTTCTGTTGTCCAATAACAGTTCAGAGCTAATTTTGTCGTTGAGAATTTGTCGTCGTTTGTCGTTCCACCTTAAAGAGCTGCTTGACTGGCAAACATGCGTCAGGAATCTGTTTTAAATTCTATTATTCACAGAATAATTTATGATTTACATTGTGGTTAGCCTGAGACCTTCTGAGTGCAACTTTAGGATTTGCAGTGATTTATATATTTGAAGTATATGTTAGCTTAATAATTTTGGTGCCCTCGAAGGCACAGTCAGGGAATTTCATTAGCACTTTATGTTTGCAGATAATTAGATGCCCTCAGAGGCATAGTACCAAGATTGAGAACACTATTTAGTAATCACTCTGGATATCCCTTTCACTGTTATTGTTCTATGACATTGTGACTCTTCTGTGAAACTGATTTACTTGGGCAATATTAGTTATATATTGTCTGGCTACAAACTGATACTTAGTGTAGGATGCAAAGGATTGTACTGTATCTATAGAATTTATAGTATATAAATTGAACAATTTCTATCTGTTTCTTTAGAATCCTTATTATTTTCAAATACTTTTTATTAAACATTTTAAAATAATTTTTAAACAGAGACGATAGCTAAAGAAAAGTGATAATGAATAAAAAGGAGAGGGAAGGGGGAGCCATTTTCATCCGTTATAATAAAACTACACGAGAAATAGGACATTGTGAAGAAAAAATTTAAATGTGTGCATAAAATATTATACATTTTGTAAATAACATCCCATAAACTATGAAACATTTATATATCCAAATACTTTGGCTAAAACAAGCCACCACAATATATTTTTTATACTTATAGACTTCAATCTTCATGAAATGTAATATATTCACTTACAGGGCTCCCATTCCCTCTACATTAAATGATCAACCCTCACAGCACTGAGATAATACAATGTATATTTGCGAAGGGTGAGTCATAATGTTATCAGACTCCAAAGAGACTGTGTAGTAAACAATCAGTATGGATTGGTTGTTGCTATGTAGCAAACAATTAAGCTATAAAGTCTGTAAAAATTACAGACTTACATTACGTTGACAAATAAAAAATGAAAGGTGCCTCTTCCTTCTCAGAATCATATGAATTCACCACTGAACGAGGAGTAAAATGTTTGCCTCCTTCCATTACATGACTGCGGGCAGATACGATTTTGGTTGTGGGTTTCTATCCAGACACAGTTTTAACTATATTCTTTGATGGCAACATGTGTCAGAAGCTTGTAGAACATAAAATAAACCAAATTAAAGCAGTTTTCCTGGCTAATCATGGCAGCATCACTTATGGATAGCACCTCCCTTAACAGTCACAGGACAGGAATTAATTAGATTAATTAATTAGACTGCTGGGTATAAAGAGTCCCTCCTCCCCTTACACCTCAGCACATCCAACAAGAGCTGTCTCTGTGGCGCAATCGGTTAGTGTGTTTGACTGGGAAAAAAGCATTTTTGCCTCAAGTTAGCAGAAAGAGCTTTTCCTCCTCCTGGAAGACTAAGTGCTTCAGGGATCATCCTTTTAAGACAGCAGAAGCTACAAACCTGGAAGGGAATATTCCAGAAATTCTTCATGGAAATCCTTCTCACATTCTTCGTCCAATAAGGCTTCCAGAGGAAGAGGAGCTAGAACCTCTGGGAAGAACTTCTGAAGGTCTTCAGGCCTGTTCGGGGAAAGTGGGAGGAAGACTGAAGTTCTTCTACCCCATGTGGGCCGAAAATATAACGGACGTGTGGGTCACATCCATCATAAAGGAGTCCAAAATCTGCTTTCTTCAAGAAATCCAGGGTGTCGGCAGGCATCAAACGAAGGGCCATGAGGACCTGCATTTCTACTCTTTTGGAACAGAAAGTGGTAGAAGAAGTTCCAAGACAGGAAAGGTTCCTTGGGGTTTACTCCGCAGTGTTCTTGGCCCCAAAACCCCAGGGAAAGTGACATCTCATGTTGAACTTGAAGAGTGTGAACTCCATGCCTGATTTAAGAACATTCAAAATGGAATTTTTACAGACCATCTTGAAGAGCATCAAAAGAGGAGACTGGATGACCTCCATAGACTTGAGGGACGCCTACTACCAAATCCCTATAAACCAAGATCATATGCAGTTTCTCAGGTTCTGGGCGCTAGGAAGGCACTTTCAGTTCCGGGAACGATCTCAGCTTGGCGCCAAGAATGTTCTCGAAAGTTCTTGTCACTTTGATAGCCTTCATAAGGGAGAAAGGTATCGAGATCTTCCATTACTTGGACGACATCCTTATCATAGGTCCATCTCAAAGGATGGTAGCTCATCACACGTTGGTGGCAATGAACATTCTTCAAGACCACGGTTGGCTTCTGAACGTGGAAAAAAACTCCCTGATTCCTTCACAGACAATCGTATTCCTCTGAGCAGTGATAAACACCATATCTGCCCATGTGTTCCTGTCTCCGGAAAGGGTCACAAAAATCAGAGACAAGGTCTCGAGACTGCCTCCGCAAGAGAAGTCATGAGTCTCCAGGGTTCTTTGACATCGACTATAGAGTTGGTAAAATGGGCCCAGTGGAAGTTTTGTCCGGTCCAGAATTGCTTCCTTCTCCAGTTCGACAGAGTGGGAGCAGATTGGGAGCAAAGGGTCTCTCTGCCCCTGTCTGTGAGGAAAGGGTTGAACTGGTGGAAGAACAAAAAGAATTTGGCAGCAGGCTTCCCGTTGGAGGAACCTCCTTGGATGGTTATTACAACGGATGCCAGTTCTTTTGGATGGGGTGCCCACTTCAATTCCACATGGACTCAAGGGAAGTGGACCTGAGAAGAGAGTCAGCTACACTCAAATCTAAGAGAACTGAGAGCTGTTTTCAAGGCCATTTTGGTATTCCTACCAAGGATCTTAAATTCTTAGGTACTGATCAAAACGGACAACCGAGCGGTTGCTTCATATGTGAACAACCAAGGAGGCACAAGAAGCAGATTGCTCTTGAAGGAACTAGCTCCCTTGATGACAATCGCCATGACCAATCTCCAGGGTCTGATGGCGATCTATCTTCCAGGTTTGGAGAACGTGACTGCAGACTTCCTCAGCAGAAAGGAAATTCTTCCAGGAGAGTGGAAACTTTACCCGACAGTCTTTGCTTGGATTGCCCATTGGTGGGGCATGCCCCAGATCGACCTGATGGCATCCTCCCTGAATCATCAGGTGGAGAATTACTTCTCCCTCCACCTGGACGGTCAGGCACTGGGCCAGGATGCTCTCTCTCTTCCTTGGTTATTCAATCTGGGGTATGTATTCCCTCCCCTACCCATGATACCCAGGTTCCTGCGGAAGGTGTGGTCGGAAGGAAAGAAGGTTATTGCCATAATCTATGATGAGCCAGGAACAGCCTTGGCCTCTTCCCTTTATGGAGGATCTGCTAACGCAGGGTCCAATATTCCATCCTCATCCGGAACGCCTCAAATTGGAGGTATGGGTCTTGAAAATGAAAGACTTCAACAATTAGGGCTCTCAGAAGCTGTGGTTAAGACCCTTTTGCATTCAAGGAAAGCTTCCACTTCCTCATGCTACCATAGGATCTGGGATGTGTTCAGGGAATGGGCTTCGGCATCCTCACAATACTGAGATCTTGGAGTTCCTGCAAGAAGGTCTGGATAAGGGCCTTAGCCTCAGCACTCTTAAAGTTCAGTCTTTGGCTCTTTCAGCTTTGTGCAACATCTCATGGACTTCGGATCCTTTGATCTACAGGTTCTTCAAGGCAGCTTTCAGGTTGAGACCTCCTTCCAGATCTACTACCCCTCCTTGGGACCTTCCACTGGTTCTCAATTACCTAACTGAGAATCTGTTCGTTCCTCTTGAGAGTTTGGATGCTACCCTCCTGACGTATAAAACTTTGTTTTTGGTGGCAATTACTTCCGCAAGAAGAATTTTGGAGATTAAAGCATTTTCTACCTTATCTTCTTGTCTCCAGTTCCATCATGATAGGGTGTGTCTGAAACCAAAACCTGAGTTTCTTCCTAAGGTGGTCTCTCAGTTTCATCTCTCTCAAGAAGTGGTCCTTCCATCGTTCTACCCCAATCCTTCTTCGCAAGAGGAGGTTAGATGGCAACATTTGGATGTCATGAACCTTAAGTGTTCTGAGTCTTACAGAAAAACTGAGCAACTCTTCGTTTTACCTTTGGGAGCCAGGAGAGGTGAGGCGGCCTCTTTATCTACATTAAAACGTTGGATTTCGCTAGTGATCAGGAAAGCATATATCTCTAAAGGTCGATCTCCTCCAATGAAGATAAGAACTCATTCTACTAGAGCATTGTCGACTTCATGGGCTAATTGGTCAGAGATTCCATATGATGATATTTGTAGGGCAGTCACCTGGTCTTCCCCGATGACGTTCATAAAACACTACAAACTGGATGTGGACGTTCCTTCCACCTCCTTTGGGAAGTGTGTCCTATCTACGGTTTCTTTATCCCGTTGATATTAAAATTTCTTTGCAGCATAAGAGTCTGTTTAGTGTCTTTTTTCGATTTAGTATTCCCACCCTATAATTCTGTGAGCTTGGATATTACCCATAAGTGATGTTGCCGTGATTAGCCAGGAATAGAGAAAATTTATAACAAACCGTAATTTTCGTTTCCTGGCTATTTCTCATGGCAGCATCAGGGTTCCTGCCCATTCTTTTATTTTTCAGCTTTATAATTAGACTGAGGTGTAAGGGGAGGAGGGACTCTTTATACCCAGCAGTCTAATTAATTAATCTAATTAAGTCCTGTCCTGTGACTGCTAAAGGAGGAGCTACCCATAAGTGATGCTGCCATGAGAAATAGCCAGGAAAAGAAAATTACGGTAAGTTTGTTATAAATTTTCTCTATTTCTTGCTTATTATTAGTTTGCAAACCAGCACTTTGCAGAGCTCAGTTAGTTTGTGGCCATCTTGGTTGCCAGCCAGTCAGACAATGACCCCCAGAATCCTTATTCATATTGTGTTTTAAGGTTTTAAATCAATGGTTTATATTTTTTAAATGACTAATAAAAGTTATGTTTTAGTGCTACATATATATTACAGTTCTGGGAAATATTGTTATTCCTCTTTTTTAGATAATCTCTTCCAGGGGTTACTCCCTCCTTTTTCCCTTAAAACATTTGACTACTAGCTTATCCTTTTTTGCTTCTAGGAACAACAAATCCGATCCATGGCGGCCCAACCTCGCAACTTGCAGGATTTTATGGTCTGTTGCTACTGTCTTGGTGCAAGATACCACAGGACACGTTCAGAGGTCATGTGGATTCCATGTCTCGATTCACCAGAGCTGTTTTGGCAGCACGAGGGGAACCTACACAATATTAGACAGGTGATTTTAATGTTTTAATTGTGGCTGATCTGTGTATTGTTTATGAAATACTCATCAAGCTTGAGTTGAAATTTCAATGATGTTCCAATGCAATCCAAAGATACTATAAGACAAAGTAGTTTGTCTTGTAGTAAAGCCTGAGGTTGACACCAGACCAGCACAGAATCTGTCACTTTCAGGTGTTCTTATGAAATAAAGTGATAGATCTGCTTTAATTCATACACATCCCATGTCTCTAGAAGATCTTGAACTTTGATTAGAGTTGACCTGTGGCAACTTTAAAGGACCACTATAGGCACCCAGACCACTTCAACTTAATGCTAGGATTAACCTTTTTTTCTGTAAACATAGCAGTTTCAGAAAAACTGCTATCTTTACCTATGGGTTAATCCAGCCTCTAGTGGCTGTCTCATTGACAGCCGCTAGAGGGCTTCTGCGCTTCTCACTGTGATTTTCACAGTGAGAAGACGCCAGCGTCCATAGGAAAGCATTGATAATGCTTTCGTATGGACTGGCTGAATGCGCGCGCCGCTCTTGCCGTGCATGCGCATTCAGCCGGTGACGGAAAAAGAGGGAGGAGAGGAGGAGGAGAGCTCCCCGCCCAGCGCTGGAGAAAGAGGTAAGTTTAACCCCTTCCACCTCTTAGAGCCCGGCGGGAGGGGAACCCTGAGGGTGGGGGCACCATCAGGGCACTATAGTGCCAGGAAAACGAGTATGTTTTCCTGGCACTATAGTGGTCCTTTAATTAAGTGGACATAATTTGGAAAAGCACAAATGTGTCTATACAAGGTCTCTGCTGCCCACTATTTTTGACAGTTGAGAAGGCAAGCCATGGCTTTACTGGTAAAAGACTACTTTGTCTTAAGTATATTCACCTGACAAGACTTGACAAAAAGTAAAGTTATCGCCTTCAAGTTTTGTAATTTCACCTAGCCATCACTAGTGATGGCTGTGGGGAAAACGGCATTGTCTACAAAGAAAACAGACAGAGAAGGGCCACATAAAATTAAATTAAATTAAAACAAAAGTACTGTGAGTCTTGTTCCAGATGTGCAAATGGTCACATATAAAAGTGTCTCTTATTCAAGAAGTAGATTCAACTGTGGTTCCTAGGTTCTTTATGCTTGGGGGATGTGGAAGGTCTGGGTGTCTTTAGTCTCCATATGTGGATAAAAGAGAGACAAAATAACCTAATAGTGCAATATGTCAAGATCTTAATAGGCCTTGAATAGGTTATAGTGAGATTGCACTCACATGTAAGGGAGCGCTGACCAGCTCCAGTGTGTATCGCCTATAGTGGTAAAATCCCCACTTTGGGATATGGTGAAGGTTGTTCACAGCAGGTGGTTGTCTAAGTACTCGGAGAGGGAATAAAATAGCCATAAATAGTACTCTCAATAAGACAATAAGAACTGTATAAAATATAATTAAAATAGTACTCACAAGTATAGAGCAGGCTCACTGCTCTATGATGATAGCGTTGGTGGTATGATCCCCACGTGGGATTTTTTTGGGGAAAAATTCCAACTGGAGCTCTTTGCAGTACAAAGCTTTGCACCCCTCCCTGTCATAGGTGCCTCATCCCAGGGCCATATTTAGCCTTGTACTGCAGAGAGCTCCAGTTGAATTTTTTTCCCCAAAAAAATCCCAGTACCACCCATGTACAGGTTTTATGGTGTTTTCAAAAGTTACTAATTCAAATATAAGTTGAGTTGAGTTTACTTTTTTTCACATTGAAATCTGCCCGATTGGTTATGTTGCTTTTGAGACCGTATGGTAGCCCAGGAATGAGCATTACCCCCATGATGCCATGCCATTTGCAAAAGTAGACAACCCAAGGTATTGCAAATGGGGTATGTCCAGACTTTTTTAGTAGCCACTTAGTCACAAACACTGGCCAAAATAAGAGTTCAATTTCGTTTTTTGCATTTTTCACACACAAACAAATATGAATGCAAAATTTTGCCAGTGTTTCCTGGATACTAATCAATGGCAGCATCACGATAGGGTTAGCTCCTCCCCCTTGGCTGTTTAGGACAGGAAATACTTACAAATAGGCCCTCCTTTCCTGGCATCCTCTGTCTTTTTTCCTGTCCTCTTGGCTGTGGACATGATTTCAGGTAATTTACCTTACCTTTATTTTTTTTTTTATATTCTTTATTTTATTCGTGCAAATAATTAACAGGCACGTTTGCTCTGCCACAATAGCTGAAGCAAATCAGATGGTACACAGAAAGAAACAACACTATGGCATTGAAAACATTGCACCTTTTTTGGTTAAGTGAACAAGATAAACATATATTGCTTGACATTGTAATCTGCACGGTTATTGCTTGGATCAGTTGGTAATTAATCATGCATGGCAGACATCATTAAATAACACAGCCTTTCTATCGACTTTGTTGTCGTCTCTTAACTTAAGTGAAGGTACCGTATTAGGCAACTAAAAAGATAACATTCTTAAAGATTAACACTATATGTGTGCTATAAGTATGGCTGACAACATGGCAACTCTTATGTTTTAATGTCGCTAAACAAGCCACCTATATATATAAAAAGGTGAGATGAGATGTCCCAGTGATAAGGTGATAATCTGCGAGATATGAATTAAATAACAAAAAAAAAGGGGAAAAAATGATTCTCATGTGTGTAGTGCTCACTAGTTAGGTAGCCAATTAGCCGCAAGGACACAGGGCAGTTATGATGGTACGGTATGTCATTGTGACAAGGTGGTGTCCATTGTAAACATTGGGGACTCAGAGGCTAGGTGCTCAGCCCTCCGTTTTCAGGGTGTCTCCGGCTCAGCCAATCCCCCGGTTCGGGAAGCTCCCAGGACTCCTGGTGGGGCAAGCGGTACCTCTCTTTTCTTCTCTGTGGGGTTTTGATGCTTGGTGAGTGTCCCATTTGTTAGAGTGGTCGTTCGGGTCGCTCCTTGCGACCTTTGCTTGTTCTGGAGGGCCATAGGCAGGTCTGTAATGAGAGCTCTTGTATTGGCCGTGTCCAGCTTCCCTCTACCGCTTCTCCGTTGTCCTCAGCTTTGAGTAACGTCGCTTTGTGGGTGGCCATGTGGCCGTGCCTTGCCCAGCGTGTACCTGGGTTTTGGAGCCCTCTGTGTGTTTGGGAGGCGAAGCGGGTGTACCTCTTTATGGATCCCGTGCTCAGAGTGGATCTGACGTGCAGCCTCTGCTGCATGCCCCTGCTTTCATGTGGGGTTTGGGAGGAAAGTTTGCGCTGTAGTCGCGTCCAGAAGGCCCTGCAGAGTTGGTCAAACCAGGCTTCGAAGCGCTGCCTCCATTGCTGGAGCCCTGGGTCATCTGTAGCGTGTTCAGGACATAGCTTGGCGGCCATCTTAGATTCCTCATGCAATTTGCGCCGGACTGCAGTTCCCCCTGTGGTAGGTAAATCCAAGTCTCCAGCAGGGACCGGGATATCCCCCGCCGGTCCATGGTGGGGTAGCAAGGGAACAGAAGAGCTGCAATGCGGTGCTTACCCAGCGTCGGGAGATCGGCCACCCCTCCCGGCAATCAGGCTGTCCATGCTAGGCCTTAGATGCGGATCCCGGCAAACCGTCTTGGATTGCTTTGTGTGTGGGATTAAACTGTTCAGTTTAACTTCGTTTACCCATTGGTAGCTCATTTGATCGCGTTTCTGGGCTTATTTGTGTCGTTTCGTCGAGTGAAAGTTTGTGCAGAGCAGGAGCTGTGCTTGTGTGCATCTGCTCAGCTCTGCGTTCAGGCCCCGCCCAACATTACCTTTATTTTATTTTAAGTTTACCTCTTTAATTCCCAGGAAAGTTCAGCCTCTCTTTCCTAGAAGAAATGGAAATTTCAAATGTTATTAAACAAAAAAATGTACATGGCAGATATTCTTAATATTAGAAGAATTCCACAATAATTATCTTATAGCGGTAATATAAGGGGTATTATGTGATGGAAATTGTACCACAGTGATCCTATGGGTAGCAGTTTTCTCAAGTGGTCTCACGTATAAGAGATTTGATCAGTGATCCTAATGGTAGCGGTAAGTGGAGTATACACTTTATAACTATAAGTCCGCAGTGATCCTAATGGTAGCGGTCATTATGTGTGACTCATGCTTTTCCTTTCATGGATTTATAGCCGCAGTGATCCTTATGGTAGCGGTGCATGTAGTAAACACACATTGAATATATATATATGTAATTTGCAGTGATCCTAAGGAAAGCGGTATAATGGGTAAACATTCCTGCAAAATATTTACCTGCATCCTTTATCATTTTTTGCTGATAAAGGATTAATATTGGGAGACCTCCTTATGGGCTTTTTGCCTGTGTTCTTAGTGTTTATTCGTTTGGAAGCTGCTTTTGGCAGTTTCCCGCCTTTTAGCCAGCTTTTAGCCAGCTAAAAGGCATTCTCATTATAGGCTCTGTTTGCGTTCGTTTGTTTTTTTGCGTTTGTATGAATTTTTCATTCAAATGAATTTTCCTGTCTTCATATACATGGTTATCGTTTGGTAAATAAACGGTATGTTCGGTTTTTTGTATATTGAAGGTTTTGCATTCCCTTACAATTTCGGTGCAAATTTCGGCTGTTTGGGCATGCGCATTTAAGGTAGATCAGTGTATTGCTCATTCGGCTGTTGCTATTAAAGAGACAGTGTGTTCTTTTTCTCTCTCCTTGGATGTAAGCTTTAATTCTTTAGGAATACTTTCTTTTGCGTTTATTCTGGTTAGTGCAGGTAAGAAAGATTATTTTTATCTTTAGCATTTAGGTTTACTCTTTTTAAAAGAGTATTTTTCATTCTTTAATTTTTGTGTATTCCTTCATATAGCTGCCCTCATGTCAGCGTCTAGGTCTTCAAGAGGTTCTCCGTCTAGGCACTCAAGCTAAACCTCATTCTTTTTATTTATTGGATTAAAAGAGTGCATTTAAAAGGTTCAGAATGGAGTCCTTGCCTTCCATAATAGCAGTAATTCAGCCAGGAGATTGGATGATCTCAATAGACCTGAAGGACGCCTATTTCCACATTCCAATAGCAGATCATTATCAAAGGTATTTGAGGTTCGCAATTTTGGGAGAACATTTCCAGTTCAGAGTAATTCCTTTTGGCCTAAGTACAGCTCCAAGGACATTTTCAAAGGTCCTTCTGGCTCTGATAGCTATGATGAGACTTCAGGGTCTTCAAATCTATCATTACCTGGATGATATTTTATTGGTAAAAAGATCAAGGGCAAAGCTCCTGACTCAAAGAGACCAGGCTATAAGAACTTTGGAAAGGTTTGGTTGGGTTATCAATTACCAGAAGAGTCATCTGGACCCCTCCCAGAGTTTATGCTTCCTGGGAGCATGGTTTGACACAAAGTTAGCCATGGTTTTCCTTTCAAAGGAAAGAAGAGTTCGTGTCATGTCAAAGACACAAAGGGTAATGGACTCAGAATGGGTCACGGCCGAAGAGTATATGAGCTGTTGGGAAACCTTTCATCAACAATCAATCTAGTAAAATGGGCTCAGTGGCACCTATGTTATCCTCAGAGGTATTCAATCAAGACAGGGACACGTGGTCCAAAAGGATAGTCATTTCGGCATTCTCCAGAAGGCCTTGGACTGGTGGAGAGATCCTGATCACCTCTGCAGAGGATTTCCTCTAGAAGAAATAGATCGGCTGAACCAGACTACAGATGCCAGTGGTTCAGGTTGGGGCGCTCATCTCCTTCAATGGAATGCCCAGGGCAGATGAGTGAAGAGAGCCTCCCACATTCCAGCCAACCTTCTGGAACTAAGAGCAGTCTTCCTAACCCTGACACATTTCTAGGATGTATTAATGGGAAGATGGGTGAGGATTCACTTGGACGATCGTACCGCAGTGTCCTACATAAACAAGCAATGCTGTACCAGGAGCAAGAATCTTCTTCTGGAACTGGAACCCATTATGTTGTGGGCTCAAGAGAAGGTATTGGGTCTGTCGGCAGTCTATATTCCAGGACCAGAAAATTCCAGAGCAGACTTCCTCAGCAGGAATTATCTGGATCCCAAGGAATGGCAATTAAATCCCAAGATATTCCATCAACTGGTCTTGAAGTGGGGATGACCAGAAGTAGATCTAATGGCTTCAGCGAAGAATGCTCAACTTCCAAAATTATTTTCAAGATCCTTTCATCCCAGAGCTCTGAACACAGATGCCCTATCTAGCTCCTGGGAGTTCATGATGGCACATGTGTTTCCCCCGTTTCCTCTTATATGGAAAACATTGAAAAGAATCAAGAGTAATAGCGATCATTCCATTTTGGCCTCGCAGACCATGGTTCCCCCTCCTCAAGTCTCTTGTGATCTCCAAGCTGTGGAAATTACCGGACATTCTGGATCTCCTCATTCAGGGACCAGCAGTGCACCCGTTGCCAAGGACTCTACATTTGATGGCATGGAAACTGAGAGGAGGTGTTTAGCAGACAAAGGCTTTAGGTCAGCAGTAATTGACACTCTCTTGAAGTCTGAAGACATTCTACCTCTTTTTTATTACCGCATTTGGACAATATTTGCAGATTGGGCTAAAATCATTAAAGTCTCTTGTTTGTCTCCCACAGTCTCTAACGGTTTGGAATTTCTGCAGACAGGTCTGGATAAGGGTCTAAGCCTCAGTTCTCTCCGTGTTCAGATTTCTGCTTTATCGGCCCTTACTGGCTACACGTGGGCTCTGGGCAACATGGTGATCCGTTTTCTAACTGCAGTGAAAAAGTCAAGACCTTCTATCAGATCTTTAACGCCACACGAGATCTTCTGTTAGTTCTAAGGGCTTTGTCTCTCCCTCCATTCGAACCTCTTTCAGATGCCTCGGATAGGTTGCTTACTTTAAGGTTCTTCTTCTTGTGGCTATTACATCCGGGAGAAGGGTATCTGAAATTCAGGCCTTATCTACGGAAGAATCCTACATGAAGTTCTATCCGGATGGAGTGGTACTAAGAACAAATCCGGAATTCCGGTCCAATGTCGGAGTTTCATTTCAATGAAGAGATTCTCCCTCCATCATTTTTTCAGTTTCCTTCTACATCAGAGGAAGAGAGGTGGCACACTCTAGATGTCTCCAGATGCATTTCTATTTATCTGGACAAAACTGCAAGTTGGAGGAAATCTCCTACTCTTTTTCTAAACTTTGTGGGATTCAGAAGGGGATTGGCTGCATCAAAAGCCACTTTGAGCCGATGGATTGTTTCAGCTATTTCTTCTGCATATCAGTATCAGGAATCTCAAGTTCTTGAGGGATTAAAGGCGCATTTTACTAGATCTCTCTCTACTTCACGGGCAGCTGTTACTAACACTCCTATAGAAAGTATTTGTAGAGCGGCCACTTGGGCTTCAGCTAATACTTTTATTAAACATTTTGCTCTGGATGTGAGATCCAAAGCAACCACTAAGTTTGGAAGAAATGTTCTTTCCTCGGTCTCTTGACTCTGAATAAACAAATACTTATTTGAGCATGAATACCTTGTCTTAGTTTTATTTGGCCCTCCCATAAAATTAGCTTGGGTATTACTCTATCATGATTCTGCCATGGATTAGTATCCAGGAATTCTGAAAATGTCCTCATACTTACCGTAATTTTCTTTTCCTGGATACATCCATGGCAGCATCTATTATTTCCCTCCCCATTTTTTTTTTCTTCGAGCGTGTTACTTGACTGAGGATGCCAGGCAAGGAGGGCCTATTTGTAAGTATTTCCTGTCCTAAACAGCCAAGGGGGGGGAGCTAACCCTATCGTGATGCTGCCATGGACAGATCCAGGAAAAGAAAATTACGGTAAGTATGAGGAAATTTTCCCAATTGTGACTAGAAAAGACTGGACATACTGTAAAGGATTACCTGGCACCCCGACTGGGTACCTCCGTTGAAGGATGCTCCTAGCACTTCCTGAGGACTCCAAGCACTGCAGCAGACACCACAACCACCGAACCGGAGAAGCATTCGAATGCTCTCAAGCATATGAATGCTGTAAGCAGCTGAACAGGAAAATAATACAATCAGCTTACACTCCTGGCAATCAGCATACAATCCAATTCCCCAATAACGAGACGACACTTCGTTTTGAGGTCAAGCAGAACTGACTGTACTGGCACATACAGCCTCTTTTATTCACAATCCACAAACACAGTACTGCCCACAGGGTTTTGAAATACAACCAATCAATCCGTACAATACACACAGACACTCACACACAAAATCCTCCCCTCTGCCTGTGATATGATTACTGAACACAATGGTTAATCTAATTATCACAGGCAGAGAAATAAAGTATCATAAAACACATCACAGGGACCCCAAAACATGCAATAACCCCTTGGAACAGGGGGATCTGGGTGAACCACATATCCAAAATTCACCCAGATCCGTTCAGTTTCATGCAGTTTAATGCAGATTCCACAGAACATATGCAGGCTATATGAAAAACAATTACTGTATAATGTGTCCCCTGTTGTATAGTCCAAAACCACTGCACGATGTCTCTGTGCACCAAATACTGGCGAGATGGCACCGTGTTGAAAAGTCCAAACAGTGTCTGTGAGTTAAAATGGCCGCCATCCATTGTTCTCACCTTGTTCCTCTGATACAGGAAATGGTGGCCACCCAGTAACTCCACAGTATGTCCCCAGATGGTTCTTAAAGGGCCAGCAGCAGCACAACACAAATTCATTATGCCCAAATTATGTCTTTAAAGGGCAATACATCCCAGGGGCCATAGTCACATGGCAGGAGGCTGGCAATCAGTCTTCTCCAATGCCCAGTGGCGAGGTCGGTTTCGCCACACATACCCCATTTGTAATACCTTGGGTTGTCTTCTTTTGCAAATGGTATGCCATCATGGAGGTAATTTGCATTCTTGGGCTACCATTTGGTCTCAAAGGCAACATAACCAATCTGGTGAATTTTAATGTGTATAAACTGAAAAATGTAACATGCTATATTTGTCCCTGTAACCAATGGCATACATATAGGGGTCGCAGCTGCGACCAGGCCCGTCACAACAGGGGGCCCGGCCACCCTGCGGATCCCTGCGACCGGGTGCCTGGTCAGGGGAGCGGGGCTCATGGATCAGTTTCGCACCGGGGCCCCATGGATTGTGCGCATGCCACTGCCTGGAACTTTCCAAAGCTCCATAAAACCTGTACATTGGGGTACTGTTTTACACGTGAGACATCGCTGAATACAAATATGTGTATTTTATTGCAGTAAAAGCAAACAGTATTATGACATTTACAGTTAACATGTCATGTAGAACTAAAAAAACATTTCTTATTTTCTCCTATTTTTTTTATATTTTATTCATCCTAAATTATGTTTCATAGCTAAATATTTGATGTTAAAAGAAAGTCCTGTTTCCCCTGAATAAAATTATATATAATAAATGTGGGTGCACATAAAATGAAAGAGGCGTATTACGCCTGAAAAGACCTATAGTCAAATTCCAGGTTTTGTTTACGTTTTATTTTGATCACAACGTGTACATTTGGCTCCGTCCTTAAGGGGTTAATGAATAACTCTGCTCATACTTATTTTTTTCGGCACTAATCTGCAATGCATGACAAGGGTTTCAGACATAAAGACAGAATATATTTCCAGGTCTTCAATCAATACTTTCATTTCTTGAAATTACCCAAGTTTCATTTTCAGTTAAAGCTGCTGCCTGGATTTTAGGTTTCATGTGGAATGAAAGTGCAACTTTCACCATTGTTTCTTACCTGACATTAGGAAGTGCATTAAATCCACACATTATTAAATCTGCTTTATAAAAGGCTCATTAATAAACATTTGTATCAAAACCAGTTGGTGTATCTGTGTATAATATTAAAGGTAAACGTACACTTGCCAACTTTCACATGCATTTATTAATTTATTATGGGGTAAGGTCATCCTTTTTTGGGGGACGGGGTACCTATAGTAACAAACAGGCTGTCAGGATGGATTGTGGTTTGACATTGCATGGTTTTAAACAGTTCATGATTTATATGGTTTGTGATTTATTTATAAATAGTGGTTTTTCTTGTGTTTCCTAACTCCTTTCGGTAGCTATGGCCCTTTATATTTATATACACTTTCTTATGTAATTTTTGTTTTTTTAGGTCTTTGTCTTACACGTTATAAAGCGCGTTTGGGCAGATTGTAGTTATAAATAGTTGTAAGCTGGTCCCCCTTTACCTACAGTTTCAATACATCAAACATGTTTTGTTAGAATTGTTTGTCTTGTTTACCTGCTGTACAGCGCTGTGGAATATGTCAGTGCCATATAAATAAGATTGTGAAAGTTACAGTAATAATAGTGAAGATTTTCTTGACCTTATCAAGAAAGTTTTATTGAAACAATGTAGCTGTGTCTTTATGCATGTTATTGAGCATAATAATATATAATAGCCCCCTCTCCCACAAAGCTTTGTCAGCCAGTGAATATGACTGTGTTGGATTCTGCTCAGTCAGTGCCTCTATTACTCTGTAGTTTCAGTTTCATTTCTCTCCCAGCAGAGCTCAGGCTGTGATTAGCAGGAAGGCTGTCACACAGGGAGGGATCAGCTGCTGTGCTGGTAGCTTGAGACTTTCTTGTTCCCAGGAATTGAGACAGACACACTCCCAGCGACCAGGACTTCTGACCTGCACTGACTGCTGAGTGACCGACAGAGAGGTTAGTAAATGAGACATAATAAGCATCGGTTTCCTTGGTTTATTGGCAAACGATAATGGGTTATTTGTTTACTATGTGACATTAGTTAAACTCTTATTATTATCTGGAAATAGGCAGAATTACAGTAAGAATAGGAAATGTATTTCGTTCTTCTCCCACAGTATTGTCTGTACAGGATAGAGACTGTATCTAGATCACAGACAAGTCCACAGGTTTCATTTCATTGTGCATTTATTCATAATCTGATAAAATAAATAAATGTACAACACAGTAACTCTGAGCTCCAATGCCAGGTGCAACACACTAACCCAGAGCTCTAATGCCAGGTGCAACACACTAACCCAGAGCTCTAATGCCAGGAACAACACACTAACCCAGAGCTCTAATGCCAGGTGCAACACACTAACCCAGAGCTCCAATGCCAGGTGCAACACACTAAACCAGAGCTCTAATGCCAGGTACAACACAGTAACCCAGAGCTCCTATGCCAGGTACAGCACACTAACCCAGAGCTCTAATGCCAATTACAACACAGTAACCCTAAACTTTAATTCCACTTGCAGCATAGTAACCCAGATCTCCAATTTTCCTAAAATACAATAACCCAGAGCTCAGCATAGGCGTGCACAGCCCATTTCATTACAGTGTGCATCTGGAAATTCTTCTTCTATGCTATTTTTTCATGTTATGTGTAACGTATGCCAGTACCCCAGCTGAGTATATCCGTGAAGAATCTCCCAAGTGCAGAAGTGATTATAGTGAATATAGCTCCCAATCCACCAAACATGAGCCAAGACTTCATGGAGGGGTAAACTGTTCTGTTTAACCCCTTAACGACCGCTGACGGTTCAGGACCGTCATCAAAAAAATCCCCTTTAGGACCGGTGACAGTCCTGAACCGTCATAAAGGTATTATGAGGGGAGACTGCACTCCCGGTGAGGGGAGACTGCCTGACAGCCCAAGCAGTCCTCCCCTCGGCGAATTAGGACACCCTGGCCATGTGATCGCTGTAACAGAGTGTTCACATGGCCACAACAGGTGTCCAAGTATCTGCCTGCAGGGGGACTGTCTGTGCTGACACGCAGTCTACCTGCATGTGTAAAATAAAAAGAGATGTTAATAAATAAGAATATAATTAGATATGTGTGTGTACATTATATATATAATGTCATACTAAGTGTATTTTTATATTAATATACATATATTAATATAAAAATACACTTATTAAATTACACACGTATATATAATATATATAATAACTATATAAATTGTGTATATATATAATTATAAAATACAAATAAGTAAATTAAAATGAATTAAAAACACGTAAAAATTATTTTAAAAAATTACAAAAAACTATATATATGAAATTTTTTTCTAACTGTATTTTGATATTAATATATATATTTATATCCAAATACACTTAGAATGAAATTATGTATACATCTATGTATATATAAATAAATAAAAATAATACGAAATATATATATATATCCATTTACAAAATTACATAAATAATTTCATAAATATACACATAGACTTTAAATATATAAATATGTATATATATTTAAATTCTACGTGTGTATTTATGTAATCTTTTTACATAATTAAGTAATTTTATTGATTGCAATTTGAGGAACCTGCCTGACAATCCAGGCCGAAAGTCCAGAGAATTTAATTTGCTAGCACTGTATTTAAAGGACCACTATAGGCACCCAGACGACTTCAGCTTAAGAAGTGGTCTGGGTGCCAGGTCCAGCTAGGGTTAACCCTTTTTTTTTTAATAAACATAGCAGTTTCAGAGAAACTGCTATGTTTATAAATAGGTTAATCCAGCCTATAGTGGCTGTCTCTTGACAGCCACTAGAGGTGCTTGCGTGCTTCTCACTGTGAAAATCACAGTGAGAAGACGCAAGCATCCATAGGAAAGCATTATGAATGCTTTCCTATGAGACTGGCTGAATGCGCGTGCAGCTCCTGCCGCGCATGCGCATTCAGCCGAAGAGGAGGAGAGCTCCCCGCCATGGCGCTGGAGAAAGGTAAGATTTTAACCCCTTCCTCTCCCCAGAGCCCGGTGGGAGGGGGTCCCTGAGGGTGGGGGCACCCTCAGGGCACTATAGTGGTCCTTTAAAAATATCAGATGCGGTATAATCTTTAGATTTAGAAGTTATATGGTTACATATACCATATATGAATATATAAAGTGAAACATTTTTGCTCTATCATTTAGTTGCGATATTTGTATTAGCTGTATTTTTCTATTGATTTATGTATAAAATGATATTTTCTTCTCTACTGTAATGGTAGAAATTCTTACTTCACAGACCTTTTGAGAGGATCATCCCTCAGGTTTGTAGAGCTTCTGATCTGCAGTAAGTGGAGAATAGATAATGGATGACGTCAAGCAGTTTCTGAGAGTCTCAAGAGTTTACATTGAGAAAATTCTTCGACCTTCTTATGTAACAGCATACATGATGACATGGCTGAAAGAAGGTGATGTATTGTCTCCCATTACACAGTGACTGCTAACATAATACATTTAATTCGACATGCAGTTCAATACTATATATTTACATGAATACATTTTAATTCATTTAATTTCTATAGCCACACTGGTCATACATTTTCAGTGAGATGACTCTCCTGTATCCTAACGTGTTAGGTGACTCATCAGTTAATTTGACTCATGGTCAAATGGAAATGGACAGATTACATATTTTCTTATTGGCACCCATTCCTTGTGCCATTCTGAAAGCTGTAAGTGAGACTGGGGTTTCTGAGAGCAATTAAGAGGGTATTATTTACTGCAAGTTTTTTGTTTGTTTATATTTATGGAGTTTTTTTTTATTTTTTACAGCAATATAAATAGAATAGTACAGTCAGTACTACAACAAATGTATAAAAGGCACTAATTTGATTGTCCAGGAGATATTTGCTGCTGCCCCAAGAGCAAATTCAAAGCAAGGTTTCTCTGCACTCAAAGTTCAGAGATTCATTTTATTATACCGAGCCACATTTAGATGCACCCAGAAATGTTTAGGTATTGCAGTACCTTTACATAATTACTACAATACTCATGTGTTGATGCTTGATTTAATAAACATTTATGCTGAGTCTCAGAGGCAGGAGCCCATATCTCTGGTTGCTACAAATGTCACTTTTCACCACTCAGAATATAACCCAGAAAAAATGTTTTTTTCTTTAACTTCAAAAGTTACAATGGGTAATAATAATTTTTAGCAAGTCAATTGTTTTTATTTGTTGTGATATGTGTCATTTCCACTCTGCTTATTGTATTGTAATATTGGGCACATTTCATGGAGTGTTGATTACTAACGTTTTACTGTTTTCTTAAAGATGTGATAGAACAAATAAAGCACAAGGAGCAGGAGGGACCCACCATGGCGTCTACACTGTTTGTAGATAAATTATTGGAGCTGCAAGATGAAGGATGGTACCAAGCATTTATAGATGCGCTAAGGGCCTCAGGTGAGTTTTAATGTGATAGTTGTGCCTGTTGTGATTTTGGGTCATTTGATATGTGCAGATCTAAAGAATTTTAGATACAACACAGTCACATATTTCAGATTGTGCTCATGTGGCCATTGCAAAGCTCTATATGAATTTTCATACAAAACCATTCCAAAATTCTAAGTGCATTTTCAAACTCGCACATTGCAAACTTCTAGGAGCATTTTCGTATATAACCATTGCAAGCTTCTAGACATATTTCTATACATTAACGTCACACATATTTTCATAAAAGATCATAAAGGATTACTCCAACCACCACGACCACTTCAGTGATTTGAAGTGGTCATGGTGTTAGTCGTATTAGCAGTGTTTCAGCCTGAAACAATGCACATACTGAGATGTTTGTAATTGTGTACTGGCTGCTAAATGCACACCCAGCACATATTTCATTGACAGCCTGGAATTCTATTCCAGACTACCTAAAGTCAATTCTGTGCAAAAATGGTAGCTGTCAGACGCTAAAAACAGATGTAGGAATCTTCCCCTTGCAGACAGAGTGCCCGAAAGGGGAAGCTAGCTGTACTCTCCCACCTTCTCTGCAACCATTTTACTTGCAGATTTTACTACAAATCAAGTACCCAAACACTTTAGAGTGCCTAATAGGGCATATTACACCAGAAAGATCACCCCTTTAAAAAGGGTTATAGTAACTCTTTAAAGGGACATTAAAGTCACCAGAACAACTACAGCGTATTGCATTTGTTCTGGTGAGTATAGTATAATTAGTCCCATCAGGCTTTTTGCAGTAAGCACTGTATTTGCAGAGAAAATGCAGTGTTTACATTACAGCCTAGGGATAACTCCACTGGTCATTCCTCATTCCTCAGATGCCTACTAGAGGTGCTTCCTGGGGCAGCGCTGCACAATTTGCAGCACTGCCATTTAGTGTCCCCACCCTGTGCATGGAGACACTGAACTTATTGAGGAGATGCTGATTGGCCAGGTCTGTGTTTGGCTTGTGCTGGCTCTGCCCCTGTTCTTCCTCCTTAACAGTCTCAGCCAATCCAAAGCTTCCCCATGTGAAAGCATTGTGATTGGCTGTGAATAACACTTCTGATGATGTCAGCCATGCAGACAGATTAGGGGCAGAGCCAGCAGCAGCAGCAGACTGGATCAAAAGTAAGATTTTACTATATTTAGGGGGAAGGAGGGGCGATAGATGGTGGTTTTAACACTATAGGGTCAGGAATACACGCACACAAAAATTGCCTAACAAAGAAAACCAAAGAAAAATGTACAGTATCACCCAAATCTAATAAAAAACTTAACATCAAAATAAAATAGTAGAACATTTTATTCAATTTTATACAATTTATACTATATTTTTATTGAGTAAATGAAGAGGCAGTAGGGTACAGAAAGAAAGAGGGTATTCATATTTAAATAATGGGTATACTATATATCATATAGGTATACATCATTACATCTCTTGGCAATTGACACAAACGTGGTTTTTGTACAATGCTTCAAAATTTTGAGGTGGACTAGGTATTGTCTTGGGTAGATTTGCCGGATGCGAGACGATATGTAATTGAACAAGGTACATACTCCCGGTTAGAACTAATTTTCAGCCCTAATGACCCATCTATGCCCATACTGTGCCTTGCCTAGGAGGTTCTATCTCATCAGATATCCATGTGAAGGCAAGTAGATGGTGAACTAAATACAGTACTTTTCGTGTGTATTCTGATTCCTGTCTGCCCGCCACAAATCCTACCTGATCAGTGTGAATAACGTGGGGTAATATTTTGCTTAACCGGATTGCATACAGTTTTGCGAAAAGTTTTGCATCCGTGTTCAATAGTGATATAGGTCTAAAATTTGGGGGGAGTGTGGGTGGTTTGCCGGCTTTGGCAATTTGATAATATGTGCCAATAATACGTCTTTAGATAATGACTTATGGGCAATTGCATCTTGGAATGCGTGAATTAGGTGTGGAGATAACTTTTTGCAAAAATTTTTTATAGTAGAGGTTGTCTAGACCATCAAGTCCAAAAGCAGGACTTTTATAGTCAAAATAACTTGTGTTCCGTCACTGGTGGGGCAAGGTCCGTCTGTTGTATTGGGGTCAATTGCGGTAGACTAAGGTCTTCTAAGTACCTATTTATGTTTATACTCTGGGGTTGGCACACTTGCGCGTCGTGTTGTAGATTATATAGCTCGGCATAATACCGGGGAATTCGTTGCTAATATCCCTTGGCGTGTGAACCTTAGTGCCGGTTTAAGTCTTCAGATATGCTATTTTTTGGGATGCTTGGTGCACTTTAAATCTGTTTGCAAGCAATTTACTTGCTTTGTTTCCATATGCATAGTGTGACAAAAGCACCTTCATCACTGGGATTTGGAAAAGTCTGCTTGTCAGCCTCTTGCCCCTGACTATGGCCCCTGGGATGTATTGCCCTTTTAAAGCTTTATTTGGGCATATTGGATTTTAAAACACTTTTTCTGTCACTTTAAATCCATGGGAAAATGTGCCTCTTCCCCTCCCCCTTTTTCCTGTCCTATTGTTTCTCCAGCAGGGCGTTGTCCCAGGGACACTGCCAGACCAGTTTAAACTGTCTGCTTTGTCCCTCCTCAATCTTCCATCAGCCCTTGCTATTTTCTGACCTTACCCTTCCTTCATCTTGCAAAAATTGGACTTTTAACATTGGATAACAATGGATAACATTGAACATCTGGGGATATGTTGAACATATAGGTTAAACATTGCATTATAAGAGTTATGTATTTCTATGTGGTTTTTGTAACAGTTTCTGACTTAGAGATATTGCCTGTACCTGGAAATAATTAAGTTACCACAGCCACTTAAGCCAATTATCTCCAGGATAGAGGAGAAGATAGACCGGCCGCACAGCCTAAATCTATGGAACTGTTTTGGGCATGAAAGCCATGCTTGCGGTCGGTGAAATGTGACTTTCATAAACCTCTGCTCTGATCTGGGGTCTATGTGATTTTTGAACCCCTGCTCTGATCTGGGTGATTTTTAGATATGTTGTTCACCCAGATATGGGCTATCCAGTGATTTATAATTTATGGAGTGTGTTATGTTTTGGGGTGTTGTCTGGACTTTGGGGAAAATGTGTGTTTTTCTGCCTGTGGATAATTAGGTTATTGTATTAGCTGCTTTAATTATATCCCTGGCAGAGGGGAGGGCTTGTGTGTTGTATGTGGGAGTGTCGGACATTATTGTATTGTTTTGATTGGTTTGTGTCCTTTGTGTCCTGTGCTCCACAAGGTCCACATGGGTGGTAACCTTGTGTGGAAAATGTGTATAAAAGAAATTACTTTGTGCTCATTAAACAGACTTGTTCTACCCTTCATAAAGTCTTGGCTCATGTTTGGGGGATTGGAGAACTACCTACACTCTGGGGATTGCTATAATCACTATACTCCCCAGAGTACAATCACTAAGCTCTTGTAAGTGCTTGTTCCTGCTCTCTGGATTAAGAGATGTCTACCTACTGGAAGCTGGATCCTGGTCTTGGGTCCAGAGTGGGTGGACAACGGCGAGACGGTGGGGTCTGCGGTGGTTATCTTGTCTAATGGAGTGTTTGGAGCCCTCGGGAAGCACTAGGAGCATCCGTCAATGGAGGTACCCAGTCAGTGTGCCCGGCGATCCGTTACACATAGTACTTAGCTTTAAGACGTTTAAGCTGATACCCTATTGTTTGTAAGGCTTGCTGCTGCGGTCTCTTAGAGATGTAGATAGTGACAATTGGTTTGGCACATTTAAGAAGTACAGCTCCTTTTGCCACTGCCGCAGTTGTGCTTGGGAGCTTTTATGCAGTGTGACCACCCTCTGTATAAGAAGCCCTCTCACAACCGATTTATGTGCCGTGGTTGGGGACATACCTGGGGTGGAATTATCTGTAAAATAATGTTGGAGGGCCACCTCCACTTGGTAAGTGAAGGCTGGATTTTGTAAAAGTGAGTCGTTGATTCTCCATGGGCTGTGGTTTTTAAAGTCATATTGGTCTTTAACCCCTAGGCTGACAGGGGCATGATCTGACCATGTGATGGGTTTAATATCACGCCGGACAAGTTGATTAAGATTCAACCCCATCAAGAGAAAGGTAAAACTTTTCCGTCCCGTGGGAGATCCACCATGCATTGTAATAGTGGTGTGCAAAAAGGAGTTTCTGTATCGCTCTACATTGGCGTTTGAGGAGCCTAAACCTGGCACGGAGATGTGAAAGCGTAGTGTCTAGTGCTGGGTCGAAGACATGATTAAAGTCTCCGCAAATAATCGTAATCCCCTGTTGTAATTTTGTCAGTTTCTGTAAAATCATATGAAGAAAGTTCTGTTGATTTGAGTTGGGTGCGTAAATGTTTGCAGTGGTGTACGTGATATCATTCATGGTCCCCACTACTATAACATACCGCCCACTGGTGTCTATATCTTGTGTAAGGAGCTGGAATGTAACCTTCTTGCTAAAAAGGATAAATGTGCCTTTTGATTTGGATGGTGAGGTTGCATGAAATTGAAGGGGGTAGTCGTTAGTTAACATGGCAGTGTGATCATTTGGTCTATAGTTGGTTTCTTGCAAACACACCACGTCTGGGCTTAGTCCAAAGTTCCCAACTCAACATGTGTCGTTTCATAGGTGCATTTGTCCCTTGACATTGTGGGTCTAGAATTTCACGGTGGATCATATACTTGAAGTCGCAGTATACTTGGATAATCTCTATGTTTAGTAGGGGGCCACCACTTCTACCAGCTCTATCGAGCAAAGTTGAGGAACCCTATAGGGTGTTAGCAATGGCTTATCCATCCTCCGCATGTCAGCATTTGAGCTAGGCAAGCGGGAGACCTGCATAGCTTTTAGTTTAGCAGTTAGCACACAGATTGGGCTCTCCACCTGGCCTTGAGTACCATAACTAGGTAACAAAAACGGGAATGAAGGGAGAGGGAGAAGGAAGAAGGACTCCTTGAAAGGGGTCTCCATTGAAAGGACTATAACCAAAGTCCAGGGGATAGATGACAAGAAAGCCAAAATTATGCCTGGGCGTTGGCCATTAGCGCCATGGGGGTGGAAGCTTATGGCTTCCTGTCCTGGGGAAATCTGTGCCTTGGAGACCATTGGAAGTTAAAAAAAGTAAGTGAAGGGACCAATGTTCAAGTGTTATAGGTAAGAAATGCAGTGTCTGCATTAGAGGACCATAAACATGTGTATCATGTTGGTTATTTAACCCGGAGACAATATCAGTGTGAAAAACAAAAAAGAAAAGCAAGAAAAAACGAGAAAACATATAAATATAGTATACGTTACATCAATCAATTGAACATGCCCATCCCTCCTCCTACACATTTGCTAATAGTGTCAAGTTGAGTTGTATTTCCTGTCTATGTGAAGGTGTATAGTGGGGTAGTTGGTCAACTGGTATATATAAAATAGAGAAGAAAGACAACCCCTGGTCTTGGTGCAGTAAGTGGGTGTCCCTCTGGTACCTTTAGCTATGGTGACTATAATGTTTGGGTATAGAGACCACCTGTGCCAAGGCCAGTTAAATAACACACCATCTAGGGAAAGATGCTGCTCAATCAGGTGTCTCCATATGCTTCCTACAGAAGAAACCAGAGGGGGTGGGTTTATTAAGAGGCGATGGCTGGTACACCAAATGACCACTAAGGCAGGGATCTTACAATCGTCAGTCGTTATCCCATTAAAAATAATTGAATGAATAATATATAAGAAAACAAAAAAGCAAAAAATGTTTCCATTTCCTTTGTGTTCTTTTGTTCTTTTCTTTTGCTCTCTTTTCCACCTTTGTTTCTTTTGTAATTTTTATCTTGTTCCCCTGTGTCTCTTCCTGTCTCCCCTCTCAATTGTGTCTGAGGGTCTACCAAACCTATTAACCTATGGTATGACCATAAGAAGGTACACTACCGGGAGAACAATGTTAATCTGATCAGGCATATTACTAAACATCTTGTATTTAGGGACAAGAATACTTGCTGTGACACGTTAGCAGGGAATACCATAGTCTCTGTTGTCTGTGTAGAACTCTCAGCACTGTCTTTACCTTTTCCATTCTGGAGAAAGTCTTTGCAAACTTCCTGAAGGTCTCGGTGGCTATTGATGCTCCAATTCACCTTAAGATGTGATCTCCGTCTTCTGGGGTGAGAATCACGGTGGTCTTCTCATCGCATTGTACCAGGAGTTTAACTGGGTAGCCCCAGCTGTAGATGATATAGTGGGCTCTAAGACATTCAGTGACTGGGTGAAAGGCTCTGCGATGCTTGAGGGGATATGCGGAGATATCGGCATAGACGGTTATGGTATGGATTCTCTCTGGCTAGTCTTTGCGGGACCGGCTTCGCTTAAGGATTTCCTCCTTGGCGTGGGAATAATGTAGGCAAAACAACACATCCCGTGGTGTGTCTGGAGGCAGAAACTTTGGCCTGACCATTCTGTGTATGCAGTCTAGGAGCAATAGGTTTCTGGGTAGCTCAGGCACAATGGTGTGGAGTAGATCTGTCACAAATAGAGATATTCCGTTGGCCTCTGTCCTCCACATCAGCCAGCTTAAGGTCATAGACATCCATCCCAGAAAGTAGGCCTTCTATTTGTGTAGTCAGAGTATTGTGAGCTTCCTCTAAGTCCGCCATTTTGTTTTCCCCAGGTCTTGTAAATCCCTTCTCAGATCCCCTATGAATGACTGTAGTGTTTGTAGGATCCTTTCAGACATGCCATCTAGCATACTCTGCAACAGGCATTGAGTCAGTGTGGGTCTGGGAGCGGAGAGGTCTGAGAGCTTTCCAGTTCTTCCTCTGTGCCATCTTGGGCCATCTCTGGGGGCACAAGAGTTTTAGCTTGTCCCGGGGCACAAAGAATTGTGCTTTTTCCAGTCTTTCTGTGATTCTCTTGGATTTAGGGTGAGACATGATATGCCCGGTGCTGATTAGATTAGGGAGTTAGGGTCCCAATTGCTCAAATTCTGTCCTTTTCCGTGCGGAGCTCTCACAGCATGCGGCCGCTCGGGGCAAGGTCCAGGACACGCCCCCTATACTTGGATTTTAACTTTTATTGAAGTAATTTTGCTTTCACTGCACGGTTAAACAACTTTTAATTAAAATTCAAGTGGCATTATGATCCATCCATGCTAAACCCAACCCAAGCACAGTCTGCCTATCACTGCCATGAAGGCTGGACTTAATTGAACTGCCCATGAGAAGTGAATGGACTGGGGCCAGAATGGACCATTCAGAAATGTCTACACATACACTACTACAAATACTGCTGCTACTCAGCCAAAAATTAAGCAAAAAAAGAAAATGAGGAGGAATGAAATGTTATTAGCACTTAGATATTATACACCAGTGGTGAATGCAGGTGGGCACCAGGGCTAGTGCTCCTCCCTCCAGAAGCCAGGAAAGGCTGTCAGAGTTTTCTCCCGTCTGTGGAACAGTTACCATGGCAATACTCTGATACTTTTCACAGCGGCTGCAAAGAGTTGCAGACAAAGCAGCACATCTCCCACTGGAACAACAGGGAATTAGATTCCCCCCCTAGCCCAAATATATAAAATAAACTAATGTTTTTTTCTTCAGACCCTATACTCCCAATTGCAACCCTACTACATTTCCTAACCCCCCTACTGCAGCCTCACCCCCTACTTCAGCCTTTTTAGCCAAACAGCATCCCCTATTCCCCCACTACAGCTTAAAATCCCCCTACTATAGTTTCTCATCCCCACTGCAGCCCCTAGCTCCCACTGCAGCCCCTATTCCCCAGTACAGTACCAACCCTCCAAATGTAGCTCCTATCCCCCATTTGCATCCCACCATATCACCACTATAGCCCTTATCCCCCACTACAGTCACTATTATTATTACTGGTATTTATATAGAACCAGCATATTCCTTAGCGCTTAATATTATCAAAGGGAGGGGATTTAACAATAAATGAGACAATTACAAAAAATTACAGGAACAATAGGTTGAAGAGGGCCCTGCTCAAACGAGCTTAAAGTCTATAGGAGGTGGGGCGTAAAACCCAACAGGACAGCAGGAGGTAGCAGAGAAGTCCTGCAAGCGTGAGTTGGCTATACGGGTGCGAGTAGCAGACAGGAGAAGGTTATGGGCAGAGCGGAGAGACCGAGAAGGGGCATACCTGCGGATCAGTGAAGAAAGATAGGTGGGGCTAGAATTGGTCAGTTCTTTATAGGTGTGGATTAGTACCTTGAATTGACTTCTATAGGATACACGCAGTGGTTCCCAACCCAGTACTCATGGAACCCCTACCAGTCCAGGATTTACGGATTACCCAGTTGTATCCAAGGTGTTTTTAAAAGAAAAAACACCTTGGACACAACAGAGCATTCCCTAAATCCTGGACTGGTAGGGGTTCCTTGAGGACTGATTTGGGAACCACTGGAATACAGGAAGCCAATGTAAGGACTGACAGAGAAAGGGGTGTGAAAGGAGCAACAGGAGAGGAAAATCAGTCTAGATGCAGCATTCATTACAGACTGTAGCGGGGCAATACGACTTGTGGGAAGACCTATTATGAGAGAGTTGCAATAATCCATGCGAGCGATTACTAGAGTATGGACAAGCTCTTTAGTAGCTCCATTAGTAACTATCTCCCTTCTACTAGAGTCCCTAACCCCCTTAATACCGCCCTTATGATCAAACAGTAGCTCCTATATCGCTGCTGCAGCCCCTATCCCTACTACGGCCTGCAACCCCTTAATTCAGTTCCTTAACTGCACTGCAGCTTCTAGCCCCCACCACATCAGCAATCCCACACTGCAGTCTCTACCCCCCTAATGTATCTCTTATCCCCCCACTACAGCCCATATCATCCAAATTTCAGCCCCCACCCCCACTACAGCCCCTAACTCCCCTACTACATGATAATTCTGTGTCTCCAGGTTCTCGTGATGTAAATCTGGTCCTGATTAAAGATAGTGCAATTCAATTCTCAGTTCTCCGTAAAGTGAATAATAATTTTTGTTCAAAATTATACTTGCATGAACAGAAGTACAGATTTCACTAATTGTTGTTTTATTGACATATTTTTAATCAGTGTCTTTGTGTTTCTTTCTTTTTGGTATATTTACAGGATACACTGGCCTGTGTGATGCACTAGAAAAGAGAGATTTTAGAGACATTGAGTGTTTAGAAGAAGACAGACGACATCTAAGCATTATTTATAGTACTGTTAAAAGTAATATCAAACCAGATGAACTGGTGCCATATTTCACTCAATGCTTTCTGCATGGGGAGCTTGAGGCAATTAAACAGGTAAATGTGAAGGTCACTAAAAGAAGCAGACAACCATAAACTTTTTTTTTTTTTTAAACAAGAAGCAAAGATTAAGCTTCATTTTCTGTTGTTTGTAAACATTTAATGTTTTGGCTTTTTTGTCTTGTCACTGCACGGTGCAAGTTTTATGAATGATACATAACCACATAACCGCAGTTGTTTTGTATGATAACATTCAAAGTGAGCAGCGAGGTATCTGCATGACAGGTGTCATCAGGGGTTGTGTTTGCTGTTTATGTGAGAGTATATTTATGTATTTGTTAGTAATTGTGTTGGTAACTCAGCTTACCTAATGTGGATACTCTATGAATATGTTTTTTTGTGTTTTTAGGAAACTGTGCAAAAGGGAGATTGTGCAGGAGCTGAAAAACTTATCGATTGTCTGCTTCGATCAGATAAAAAGCAATGGCCAAAGATCTTTACCATAGCCTTAGAAGAAAAGAATTTCACACCGGTTCTTGAGGTGTGGTCTCAAAATAAAGGTAATTAATATTACAGTAATATAATGGAAACTGTAGGGTTATTCCAGTGCAGATAATGGAGAAGATTTCTCAAAGTGTTCTGAAAAGTGTCTTTTATTTTTTTGGTTGCTAGTCTTTTACTGTTTGTATTTATTACATTTTACTAAAAAATAGTATAAAAAGTGTTGGCCCTTTTCTTCCTCAACTTGTCCATTTTTTTTGTAGATGTATTCTTTTCAGAAAAGGCAACCAAAGTTAGATTGGTGTGAAAAAATAGAATTGAAACAGTACATTATTCTGTCAGAAAAGGTGATATAAAGATTTAAAAATCTGTTGTGCTGCTGAAAAAAATTGCATACATTTAAAAATACCTTTTAAGGTGCAAAAGCAACAGACTTACTTTTATCATGTACGGACTATGTGTAATTGTAATGTGGGTTTGGGTGCACAGGTCTGTTGGCAAACAAACCTCCCCTTAAATCTCCTCACCGGTCTGGGGTCCTTGTGGGTTGCAATGCCTTTGATTAATCCAGTCTGCATCACAAAACTGGTATATCAGGAGAGAATCCTGGCATATCATCATCAGGTGAGGGCTGAAATAAGTACAAATACTGCCACAAATGGAGGCTGCTGCCTCTGAGTGTAACTCCCACCATGTAAATCTAGGTGCTATACTAAAGTTAAAACAATACTAATCGTTGCTCTAGCACTAACCTGAACACTAAATATATATTTATCTTTTGTTCAGTATGTATATAGACTGCATACTAAAATAATTCATTGTTTTTTCCCTTTTTACGAATATTTTTTATTATTTTTTTGTTGTTTATAGATTCGGAGTGCAAAAAGGAAACAGAATCATCTTGTGAAGAAGAGGGAGAACAAAGTACCTTTACTATGTTCCAATATTCAGAAGAGGTTGACCCACAAAATCAATGTCTGTCAGGTGAGTCCGATCAGTTTTTGTTTGGTTGTCTTCATGAAACCTTGAGATCCTCATGCCTCATCACTTTTTAGCCTTATGCCATTTTCACCGTCCCTTCCCCTTTTACTCTTCCACCTCTTGTCTCTTCTGTCATTGTGTGTTACTTTTAGTCACATTTAGTTTAGATCTGTCACTCACACCCAGCCTGACCTTTTTTGCTAGAAACGTTTGCAGAGGAGACAATGAGATTATAAACTTAATGAGCAAGTCTTACCCACCTCACCAATATCTATAGTCTCCAATAGAATGGCTGCAAGATGTGGATGACACAAAGGTTTATGGGATACATTCAGCTCTCTCCTAGCTGTCTATGTAGTGCTGTACAGCAGACACTACATTGAGTAAGTTCAGTCATGAATAAAAGAATGCAATACAAAATGTAATAGATGCTGGCTTCTTTCATATGTTTCATAAATTAAAATGCTTGCATCTGGGTCTGCCTTTAAATAGAATGTTGACAAAAAATCTAAGGAATAGGTAATGACTTGTCCCCCCTGTTAGATTAGTTTTGTTTTGAGCACTATGAATATGTCAGCAGTAATGGGGATTACAAATCACCAGCAGCCGGAACTCATGATAGTATTTATAGTACAAAAACAAAATCTGTCTACCAATACCAAAACATACTGGCTTCTTTTCATTTTAGCTGCCCCTGAGCTGCGTCTGAATCATGACAGCAGTGTAGCAAATGTTCCACAACTGACCGGTGAGTATTTCTTGAAAATTTCGGAATTTGTAATGTTATATGCTCAGGTATTTTCTTTCCTCTGGAACTTATCTAGTAGTAAACATTTAATTTTATATTGCATAGGCTGATGTTACAGATGAACATTTTACTTTTCTGTGCTAGGTTACTTTCATCAATCTACTTCTGAGCTGAAATTGAGAAATTATCAAGAAGAGCTGGCACAGCCTGCGCACCAAGGGAAAAATACAATTATATGTGCCCCAACAGGTTAGACTATTGGAAAGAAAATTTTATTGCACGTGTGAACCACAGTTTATCTAAATATCTAGTACCTTATTATTATTATTTTTTCAATTTATGCATACAGACACCCTGGATATACTGATCAAAGGGTTTAATAACACAACTTAATTTGACAGACAGAAGTCTCTGTAGTCAATCCAGTGGGTTTTTATTGTATCAATAAGTAATCATCACAAAGAAGTTAACCATATAAAAAGTCTAATAGATTTCTGTTGATCATTTGCATTGATACAGGATCAGGGAAAACAATCGTGGCACTTTCAATATGTGATCGTCATCTAAAGTCCATGCCAGCGGGACAAAAAGGAAAAGTTGTTTTCTTGGCAACTAAAGTACCAGTTTACGAACAGCAAAAAGATATCTTCTGCAAGTACTTTGAAGACAGCGAGTATGTATCCAAGTCTGTGTACTGTAAATGTTTTGTAAATGCTCCAAGAATATAGCGCAATTGTATAATTTTCAGTTTTGCTACTTTGTCCTCAGATTTGATACTTTCTCGATTCCTAGTTTAGTGAAATACCCTGTCTTTGTATATATTTTCTGACAGTTTCATGAAAAGAAAAATAGTGCAAACATCCTGTTTTACTTTAGGTATTTTAAACCAAAAACCATCCCAAGTAAGGTATTCAGGCTAAGTTTGGGTTAGACAACACAAAAAAAAAGAAAAATAACAGTATTAAATTATGAAAATTATGTTTTAAAATCAGAAAAAGTTTATATACAACAGTGAAACTTGTCTGGATTTAAGTGTATTCAAACTAAGATCATATTATTCTCTAGTCTTTATGTAGGAAAATATATATTTTATTTACAGGAGGCGAATATAATCATTTATCTCTCTTTACTACTCCAACTAAAAATAACAGGTTAACTACAGGTTTATATAGATGAAAGAAAAAACAAGGTGATATAACAGGTAACCAATCAAACATGATATAACAGGTAACCAATCAAAATGGCCCATGCTATAAAAGACCCAATCAGATAATTCAAGTCCTCTTTCGAGCTGTGACATCTTGAAGACTGGTCAAATACAGTCTGCAGAAATAACGTGAAACTGGAGCCAAATTGTATAAAGAAAACCGCTTCAAGTAATCGGAAGTCCTAATGATCCAGATCCAATTCCTACAGGATAATACCTCATCTTGGGGTATTATCCTGTAGGAATTGTATCTGGATCAATAGGATCAATACCATCTTGGGGTATTATCCTGTAGGAATTTTGTCTGGATCAACAGGATTAATACCTTTTTGGAATATTATCCTATAGGAATTGTATCTAGATCAATAGGATTTCTGATCACTTGAATTGTTTTATTTATACAATTTTGTTGACTATATTCTAGTTTTACAGGAATGTTGACAGGCTGTAAATTTTATTTAATATTTTGCAGCACTTTATATTAATTATTTATGCATTTGGTATTTGGCACTCTGTATTTTATCATAGGTTATGCACTATCACCCGCAGGGAACATAGTTATATATGTTTGTTTATATATATTTACTTGCAGACTTGACCAACAGTGGCAATATTATGTGAATAAATATGAAAAACAAACATTCTCTTTACTATATCTTTTTTAATTTGAGTGTGGTATTCATTTAGTTGAGTGTGGCCATTTTTGCATTCCAGTTTTCTTAGCATTGCCAGAGAGGTCAAATAACTTTGTCATAGAAACTTGTTATCTAGTAACTTGTCCTGGCATAATTTAAATGAATGGTCTAACCCTTTACTAGGGTCCTTGCCAGATTTAATAAGAAATTTGGCAAGTTTAGAATCCAATGGTGGTGTAAAACACTTTTTTTTAAGGATACATAGTCATGGGCATGTTGCCCTAAATTTGTTCCAAGCCAATTTATATAAGGGTTTCCTCAACCAATTCTTAATATAGTTAGACACAGATGGCATAAGTGTCCGTTCAGCAGACCTGATATGTAAGATATTATCCACATCAAATAAAGGAGTACCTTTTACGTCTAATAATGTATTTTCTGTTATATTAGAATTCACTTCAATATTGGTCTCAGATTCAGAAAAATAACTAACCTCGTCTGTAGATGCAAGAGTCTCGTCTTACAGGAAGAGTCTCCAAAGGTTATGCAGTAGGAGTTTGCTCCTCTTAGAGGCCTTCCAATCCCATATAATCTACTCATGGGCAGAGTGTCAGTTGTGTAATAACGTTTTGCTTGATGAACACTTTAAATCAATATGTTCTTGGTCCTTAACTATAACTTGCTCTCTAGATCTCTTGTCTGAAGAGCTAGGACCATAGAAGAATCCCAAAAATGTCCTTATATGTTCCTCAGGGATGAACTCACATTCATTTGAGTTGTTAAAGTATCATGTGATATGAAACGGGTTGATTATTAGCCGCATTTTATAAATGAGTCAAGCATTGTATGTCGTCTTTATATAATCTTTTTTTATAGTCGCGTGTAAATTTACTGTGGGAACGGCTGAGTGAAACTGGCCCCCCTACAATCAGCACAAATAAAGAATCCACTGTGTTTCTTTGGTGCTCCTTTTGTGCTGTTTTGTGCTTTTATTTTCACATTCGTGCAGCGGGAACAGAAGTTACTGAAGTAACGTTTTCGACAATCTTCTTCTAAGTCATTTTGCAATGAATCAGAATAAATCTGACAGTTGGGTGAGTAAAAACTGAACCAATCGCTAACATGCACAAAACAGGAACGTGCTACTTATCTCGTCAGTGGAGCAGCAAAGAAAGAGGGTTTGTATTATTTGATTGGGTCTTTTATAGCATGGGCTGCTTGTTGATTGGTTACCTGTTGTAGCTTAATTCTAGTTATTTGCTGCTATTGGCGTAATAAAGAGAGTCTCGTGTCTGCAATAACATTTAAAATTTAAATTAACACTGTAGGCACTTCAACAACCTAGTCTTATTTAAATTGTTAAAGTACCTTAAAGATGTTCCTCTTCTCTTATTGTTTAAATCTGTTCATCTGTGTGAAAGCTCGGAAGCACAGCTTTAAGCCACACCCCCAAACCCTCAGATACTGAGAGCCAGGTATGTAACTTCCCTGCTCTCATACCCAATTTGACGTTTACATAGCACACTGACGTCTACGGTATTATGCTCCTGGGCACACCCAACAAGCCCTTTCATGGATGACTTTACACATTCTGTGAGCTGATCTCTGCTACAGCTCACTGTTAATGAACGTGCATGCTCCTTGCATGGCCGATTCACGATTTCTCATAGGGATTCATTGAATGCAATGATTCCCTGTGAGTATAATTTGATAAGTGCATCCTGGTGAGTAAACGGCATGTGCGGACTGTCCACAATGCTTCTCTATAGAAGCTCCTTCACCAAAAGTAAAATGTTAATGTGCAAGTTGATGGGGTGTAATGCCGAGTGGACACTTAAAGAATAAAGGTCAACACTTATTTTAAAATAAAAAGTTACAATAAATTAATAACTGTCAATAATGTTTATTGATATATAGCAGGTTAATATATATATATAATATATATGAAATAGCATATACGTACAGTGCTCGTACAGTGTTCTTGGAAAGGACAAAATAGCCAAACTGGAAGCATAAATGACGTGGAGAAATGTTCCAGTTCGAATATTTTGGGCTCAAATTTAAAATCTGCTTTGAATTCTTGATAATTATTTTGTTAGTGAATAACCCTATAGGTTTTCTTGTGAAAATAAATTAAATACACATATCTATATTTAACTAATTAGCTGCAAAAATATCATGAGTTGCCCAAAAAATTATTTTTTTCTTTTTAGCTACTCTGTAGTGGGATTTTGTGGCGAATCACCAGAGAATGTGCCGATTGGAATGGTTTTGAAAAGCAGTGACATCATTATTCTAACCCCTCAGATTCTTGTCAACTGTCTCAAGGAAGGATCCGTGCCTTCACTCTCCATATTTACATTGATGATTTTTGATGAATGTCACAACACAATAGGTTCTCACCCTTACAACGTGCTAATGTTTCACTACTTGGATATGAAGCTTGGCTCAACAGGAGAGAAGTGTCCACAGGTAACAAAGCAAACACACTTCTTGATTTCCAAATACATGCTTTGTTAGTGGTTAGTTTTTGTCACAACAGCCAAGTCAATACATTCTGAAATTACTGGTGATTTAGTCATTTCTATTTTAAAATCTTTGTAGATTAAAAGGAACGCTAAAAAGGAAAATGGCCACTACAGACTGCTGTACGCCGTCAAACCATTCTTAAACAATTTGGCTACTTATTCTTGGAGGGCACCAGGGCACTCCTGCTATTATAACTAATACAGCGGGCTGAAGTGGTTATGGTGCTTGCACTATTCCTTTATTGAGCAAGTACAGAATAGAAAAAAGTTATACAAGCACCCCAGAAGAGTTCTGTCTGTCTGATTGACAGTTATGGTAAACTAGCTTACAGTTTGTATTTTTTACAAATTATTAAGCTGTTTTTACATCATCATACAAGTTATAAGCCACTCTCAGATCTGAGAAAGAGTGCTGTGTGCTCCCTGGCCCATAAACTTTGTAATTATTTACAGTTGTCCATTTAAATGTGGAAACCTGTGACAAAAAGCACTTCTATAAAGGCTACTTAGAACATACTACATGTGAGAGTTTTTGTCAGGGTGGCGGTCCGGGACCCAGACACTGTCCGGGCGGCGGTGCGAGGACCAGGACCCAGTATGCCTGATGATAAGTGGGAGTCTTCAGCGTGAGAGTGGATAGGTCAGGGTCTGGTGCAGGGTAACCGCACGCCCCCTGGTGTTGAGCACCAGCATTTGTGCAGCCACATACCAGAACCCTGATTCAGCTTATGCAGATCCCAGGAACTAGGAGCAGGAATAGGGAGGCTCTGCAGCAAGAATGTACCCAGTACAGAAACAAGGCAAGACTAGAGATAGGCACCACATGAAGACAAGACAAAACTAGGAGAACCCAGAACCGGAGAAGGATAGAAAGCAGAACCCAGAACATGTACACAAGACATGAGGAAAACAAGAACAGGGCAGGACAGGACTGTACATGAACTGGGAATACAGGACAAAATAAAACAAGACAAGAGATACAAGGTAAAACAAGAGGAGACATAACTAAATCCCCATGATTTTCATATGTAGTACTTAGTTACATTATATGATAATACATTGCATAAGCCTGCCAACAATGCCAATGTACCCCATATCTGACAGGTCCTACTCTGCCTAATGTTCGCTAAACCAACCAAAGAAAACACACATAGTACTTACCTGCAAGAAAGGGCAGAAGACTTGAGCAGCTGCCTGCAGGAACACCAAAACAAAAGGAATGATGGAAAACAAACGGGTGTGGCAACATAAAACAAACATTTAAATGAATCGAAGAGACTGGGAATTCCAGGGACGGAATACAGGAATGAACCCAGAAATCCCAGCATAAAGAAAACCAGACATAGAATAGAAAACCAAAAAAAACAAGAAAAACTAAATAAGAATTGTAAAAAGAGTACTGGATACATGAAGCCATAACCAGAATGATCCGCAGCTAAGAACAGGATGTGACAGTTTTATTGTAGATCTGAATGGCAACATAAGTATCAGCCCTGGCAAGAATATGGGTAGATCTGACATTCCATAATTTGGCTCTGCCTCAGGGATCTTTGCTTAACTATATTGAAATATATGCCTACCTAGTTCCTACATCCATGAACTTAGATAATAACAGCTGATATTTCAGTAAAAACCTATATACTTAGTGCAGCAATGTTTAAAACGCTAGCTATGTAGTAACCTAACCCATGTTAAGTTAGAAGGTGTTTTACAAAGTTCAGGTAGTATCCAAGTTGTATTGAAAGCAGTTATTTCTAACTCTCTAGTGCTATGCAGTTTTAATTCTAATTTGTCATCTGAAAGGCATTCTCAAACAGAACTAGCTTAATTCAGCAAGGGGATTTCCTTTACTCTGTGTTGTGTACCATTATATATGTTATATACACAGGTCGTTGGATTAACGGCCTCAGTGGGAACTGGAAAAGCCAAAAAGGGGGAACTAGCTTAATTCAGCAAGGGGATTTCCTTTTCTCTGTGTTGTGTACCATTATATATGTTATATACACAGGTCGTTGGATTAACGGCCTCAGTGGGAACTGGAAAAGCCAAAAATGAGGATGAAGCTACACAGTACGTTCGTAAACTGTGCGCCAGCCTTGACATTGAAGTCATATCTACAGTCAAGAATAATGTGGAAGAATTGGAAAAAATTGTATACAAACCTGAGAAACGTAAATATTATAATCCTATTATTGTTTCACATTTTTTTCTTGTGATTAATAATTGAGACACTTCATCTGTTTTGAGTATAGTAAAGTATCGATATAGTCCATCAAGGCCTAGAACTACAAATATTATCATTATTATTATGAAATATATGTTCCGTGTAGTAAACATACTGTACATAAAAAAATCTGCTATTTCCCATGTTTATTTTCCATCAATTAAAGTGCTTTATAGACGTTTTCTATCTATGTTATAAACAGTAGATGTTTTAGAGACCAATGCCACTTCCAAACATCAATACATGCTTGAAATAGCCCATACTGTTCTCACATGTCAGATATTTTTTGTTAGAATTGTTTATTTGTTTTGTTTTGCCTACTGTACAGTGTTGTTGAATCTGTTGGTGCTATATAAATAATTTTATTTGCTCATTATTATTATTATAAACCCGTACATTAATTGATACAGATTCCATCATTGTAATAAGAGAATTAACCAAAAATAAATTTTTGAGTATTCTGTTATATGAACTCTTTGTCCATGAATTTAATAAACCTATAATTATCAGCTGACCCTGTCATAGCTCCCTTGAACTAGAGACCCTTGGTCCATCATGAAATCCCTGACCACCCAGTCTATCCATTTCTAAAGTTCATCACATAGAGTTTGTAGATGGTGGCAAAATGCTCTGAATTCATTACTGACAAGTGAATTCATATTTTTGTTAACATGTAGGCATTTTTTTTTTCATTTTTACAGTAATTCGTGAACTGACTCCCCGTAAAACTGATCTTTTTATTAATGTAATGTCAGAAATAATGTCAGAGACAGAAAAAATGGCACGGAACATTTTCCCTCAACTTGGTAAGTTTTTCAGTACATTTGTTTTCAGTTACTGGCTTTGCGTTAAATGAGATAAGATTTTTTTTTAAACAAAGCTTCAGGTTTTGTATAATTCAGTTTTTTTGTTTTTTTTTGGACAGTCTTTATTAAGGTTTGTACAAATGTAACTAAGAAATATATATGGTTCATAGAAGACGGTCCAGAACGTATACATAGTGAAAGATAACAGTAAATATTTATTGACTTCAGGTTTGAACAGGTTGACCTTCTGTGCAGATTAAAACTTACTAGCAAACTAACGTATTAAATTGAATGATGTTAATATCTGTTGGACAATAGGTAGTCAATAAAAGTGAATATACTTCTAAAATGTTAATGCCTTGCATTCATGTTAATCCTTTTCAAGTTCATTGAGCAAGCATTACTAACAGTTAACTATTAAGTAAAAGTCTTTTCAAACAGAATAAAGAGGCTGTTTACTTGTTTATCCTTGTTCTTTGCATGCCTTTACAGTGGTTATAACTGACCATTGTCTTGTTGTTGTTTTTAATTTGTATTCATTTTACCAGTAAAATGTTAATGCCTTGCATTCATGTTAATCCTTCTCAAGTTCATTGATCAAGCATTACTAACAGTTAACTAATAAGTAAAAGTCGTTTCAAACAGAATAAAGAGGCTGTTTACTTGTTTGAAAGCAAAACATTAAAGGATCACTATAGGGTCAGGAACACAAACATGTATCCCTGACCCTATGGTGCTATACCCATCATTTAGGTGGCTTGCAACCCCTTAGCACACCTATAAAAGTTTAAAACTCACCTAATTCCAGCGCTGTGACATTATCAAAACGGCCGATTTTTAGCCAATCCAATGCATTGGATTGGTTAAAATCGGCACGGGGCAGGGCCAAATGCCACGCAGAGTGTGGGGACGCTGAATGGCAGGGCTGCTTACTGTGCAGCCCTGAGTCAGGAAGCCCCTCCAGAGGCCATCTAAGGAGTGGCTATTTGGAGGTGTCCCTAGGGGCAATGTAAACACTGCCTTTTCTCTGAAAGTGTTTACATGAAAATGCCTGAAGGAAGCTATTATACTCACCAGAACAACTACATTAAGCTGGTGATGTCACGCCGCTCCTGCCAGAGAGCGGTATGGGTCATGTCGGGCGCACGTCGTTGCGGCAGCATTCCCACATCGCAAGGAGAATGCTGCTGAATACTTACCTTTTCTCCGGCGGTCACATCTTGTTGTGGCGGCATTCCTACATGGTAATAGGAATGCCGCCTATCGCTTACCTCCTCCTGCGACGGCCCCAGGCCTCACTGACAGGCACTCCTCCCCTTACACAGCGGCCGGGTCTCCTTTTAAGGTTTTCTTTATGAACCTTGTAGTGCCTAACCTTTTGGAACGTGTGGGTGATGTCACACACATACGTTCACTATCACATGCTTTCCTGCAGCCAATCAGGCAGCACCTTAGGCTATTTAAACCGTTTTTGTCCATTACTCTGGACCCTGTCGTGGTTTCCATTCTGGTTATCCGAGAACTCGTTTCTGATACTGTTTCTTGTGTATTTTGACCTTGCTTTCCTACTGACTATTCGATCTATGTATTCCTTGACCCTTGGCTTGGCTCCTGACTATTCTGATTTTCTATATTCCTCGACCTTTCGCTTGCTAAAAGTTTCCGTGATTTCTGTGTTCTTGTCCACAGCCTGTCTTGTGGTTTTTCATTTCATACATTAAATCCGGCCGTTCTAAGGCCCGGTAATACGTCTTAGGGTTTTCATTATTTTTCTACTTAAGCTCTGTATGTTGGGCATTAGTTTATTCTGACAGGTGACTATAGTGTCCCTTTAAGAATTAATTAATAATATAAGCTAGCACCATTGCTGGTAGTTATGGACAGAAGTATTAGCCAATTAGCCAAACCATGACAGTGGGGAGAGTGTAGATATACATTACTAGCTAAACTATCTTGTTGACTATCTGAGCCTCCTACCAGGACGTAAATTTACATGAAATTAACATCTGAGTCTTACATTAACATCAAGAAGTTATCAATAACTATCTGCCACCATCAACACATTTTATTAAGTGTCTTGCACTTTAATTATCTTCTCTGACAGGTAACATTTATTTCAGGGTAAAACATCCACAATACAAAAGTCAACGCATATAGCAATCTGTCCCTCTTTCTTAAAAATAAACTGTTATTGGTCCGATTTTTTTGTGCAACATAATGATTTTAAATGTTAGCTATGGGTTACACTAAAGATATTGCCATATCAAGTTATAATCCTACAACCATACTCCTCTTTATGCTGGTGGTCCTCAAAAATGAAGCTGTTATATGAATTATGAATTTAGGCAGTGCCTTTATCATAGCCATAAACAATTCTTATAATGTTACATGAGAACAAACCCATCTAGAAAAATGGTTTTATAAATGTTAAACAACAAAAATGAAATTATGTTGACGAATGACGTGAATAAAACTATATATAACTTAGCTTTTACCGATCCATAATTCCTTCTTCCATTAGACTCTCTGTCCAATATCCAGAACCGGAGTTTTGGCACTCAAAAGTATGAGCAGTGGATCATTGACACCCAAAGAAAATGTCGCATATTACAAATGGAGAACAAAATTGAAGAGAGACGTATCTGCCAAGAACTGTTTACTTACACGGAACATTTACGGGTACGCAACATGAGGTGCTATTATGCCTCGTAGGTCACTCGCAAAGCTTGAGAGCAATGTATGCACTTTCAGGGTTATTCACTAAAGTGGCAACAGTTAGGAATTCACTACTGACTTTAAATTTTAGGCCAGACTAGCTAAGCAGTAAGCATTCTTGTTTTTATTTTCAAATCCTGCGTTCATAGCCTGAAATGTTAAATTCAGTCACAATTCATGGTTATTATCACTCTCTATTAAATGGAAGCATCTGTATACCTACATGCATTTTTTGGGTGGCTTTCTCTGCTTTCCAGGTATTGTAGAAATGAATTCTCTATCTTGTTATAAGTTCATTATAAATTTTTGCTAGCTGCCACATGTTTCAGTTTGCTGTATTTGACACTAGTAAAGTACTACTTGTTATCCTGGACAAGGCATAGCAAAACCTTTAACTGTGCTGTTCTTTCCTTAAAATAGAAATACAATGATTCAATCATGATAAATGATGATGCTCGTACGAAAGATGCTTTGGACTACCTAAAAAACTTTTTCGAAAATGTTAAAAATGGGAGCTACAACCCAATTGAACAGCAGGTGACAAAGGTCTTTGAAGGTATCTATCTATAATAAAATCAAAGCAAAATAATTATTTTTATAAACTTGATATCAAAGTAAACATGTACATTTATGGCAACATAGTTTGAAGATTATTTGTCATTTAAACTGTATTTGACAGGAAAATAGGAGTGTATAATTAGAATTGGTAGGTGGTTTAAAAGTAGGGTAGCAATGGGCAGTGCAAATAGGATAATGTAGTGAAGTGGTCTAGGAGTGTTGCGGCTTACTTCGCTGAACCGCCTCTGTTGTCACCACCATCTTGGATCCCCGTGTTTTTTCAAATTTCTATACTCATCAAAAATTAAGGCACAACTGTTCTGTGTTTAAATAGGGTAATTTTGCTTAGCCACATCCCCCGATAACACCATGTACCAGGGTTAGATTTAGGAGGAATTTTTACTTATAGATTAATGACACCCAGGGATAAAACATTACATTTGAAGTTATGTATAGAGTTAATTAAAGCCTTACTCCTAGGGTTAGGGCTAGAATAAGGAGTGAGAGAGGTTAAATTAGTTACCTAACCCCAATTTTAACCCTCACTTAACCCTGTGTCCTTGTGGTTTAGTGAATGTACTAACTATAATGTATGTGTGAAACTAGTTTTACTGACTTTGCAATACCTTGCTGAGGAGAGGTTACCATTCCAGCTGATACCTCATCAATGGGAGTGATGCAGTGGTCTCGTGGATGCTCCCAGCCTCCATCAGATTTCAACAACCTTTAGGAATACTAACACACATGTGCAGCACAGGTAACAGTTGATCAGCATCGCCGGACGTGACACGGTTATAGATCTCTGATGGTATAGAAATTGACAGAACACCGAGAACAAGTGAGCATCAACGTGATTGCTCCGGCATCCATGAAAATCGCTTCACATATTCCCTGCAACCATAAACACTAAGGTTGCGTGCACGCACTGAGGAAACAAGGTGCCATCCAGTGGATGCGGTCTATTATGGTCTGTGAGGATATTTATGGGGATTAAATATTATTAATGCTTTTTTATTAATTAAAAATATTTTTATAAAACTTATTAAAATTAATAATCTTTATTAAAATATCAGAAATTGATATCTTATCGGCGCTATTCCCAATTATTAATTTAAAAGCGAAGAGTTACTCACTGTTTTAACTCTTAGACCTGGAGCACGTTGTGTGAATTTAATATTTCAAACATTAGTATCACAACTTTTTATCAAAATTATAACACTTATATTTGTCTATAGGTGTAAACATACATGCTAATCAGTGAACAGTTTTTCAATAACCGTGAACAAAATATGGCATAGTATCACAATCACAGTAAGGCAATTTCCAACTCTGTTAGAGTGATGTGATTGTTAGTCCATGACATTATCAATCAACATGGTTAGCATATTGAATATTCTACTCATATACGATTGATACAATCTGCAAATAGTATATCACTACTTGTTAAATCATAAAGAACCACATGAGTAATCAGCATATGGATTATTATAATTTAAAGACAGATATTTCCAAATCTTAAGGAATACAATCTTAGTTTTACTCTTAGTTAGATTTTCAATCACATGTAGATTGTTTGCCTATCGTAAACACCATTCATTAAGCTTAGCTGGACATAGTTCATAAATTACTCAGGTAATCAGTTACCTTAGTTACGCAACCTGGCAGATTCCTAAGGACAAACTTTAATCAGCTTGCTACAGAATTTTAACCAACTCAGTGCTGCCAAGTCAGTTTAAGCTTTTAACTCATACAGAATTTTACCTAACTCACTGAGCTGGGGTGAGACGACCGCTGTCAAGAGATGTGTCCTTTTTCTTTTATCCCTATGTCATGGGGTTATATGTCAATCCTTATCTGTTAACCTTCTGACCTGGTCCAATGGAAATCTTGGGGCAAGTCTTATGTTAATGGCTGTTGACATCATTTTGACATATATTTCTATATGTTTCAAAAAGCAGGTGGAGCTGTTGGCTTACGTCAGGAATATTACCAGCTATTATCATATGTAAAATTAACTCTTGCTCAGGACAACAAGTAGGAATGTTTAATTTCAATACTCTTTAGTCAGTGTTTTTCTTTTCTCAATTTGGATTTTGGTTCCTCAAACCAATTTGTCCTTGCTTACTTAATCATTATTGCATTGTAATGTTTTAATTGTCTTACTTACTCTATATATAGGTAATTACACATTTATATACATGTTTCTATATATGAATATGTTGCTAACCAAGAATATAACACGTTATATTACTATTTTGTATATAACTAAATTTAATTATATACCTTATAGCAATATGTATGTGTGTGGGCTGAGTTAATAAATACTTTTTTTTAAAATTAACAAATACTTGTTCTCACTCTTATCTTTGCTCTTATCTCTTATTTACACATGTGTATTTGCATTGTCTGGCATCTTTAAGCCAGACTGACAAGGCAAAACATTGAGGAAAACATCTTGTTTTTCTTCAATTTAGGCATCTCATGGTAAATTAGCTAAGTTGCGTTTTTTTTACCATTATTCAAGTATTCGTTTTATCCCACAATATATATGATTTTCCTTTCATACACAATATCTCTTACAGGTCCCCATGGTAACCATATTTGTACAAGACTAGGGATGGCACAGCATGTTATAGAGGGACGTTTCTAAGTAAAATGACTCAAACAGAACAGCTGTGCCTCATTACTTAGTTGTTCTGTGCTTCTACTGTTGAACATTTGACTTATCTTTTTCCCTTTGCTCCTGGTTATTGACTAGTCTACCCATTGCCTGGGTTTTCAGACTTTTTTTGACCAACAATATTGTCTTGCTGTCTGCAAGGAGCTAAAAAGCCAAAATCATTCTATCATTACAAAAAGGGTATTTGTTGGTCAAGATTTAGGCATTCCTCTACACCTATTTTTGTTCTCTTTAGGATAATGTTGTGGAATTGTGAGGAGTTAGTTATGAATCTAGGAGTCATAGAAGATTGGGTAGGAGTCAAGGGAATGTGAATGGTCAGTAGTAATGCATAGAGAGCATTAGTTATGAGAATTAACAACCTATAATGGGAATTGGGAGTGGGACTGGAGTAGAACTTATGGTGGTGTGGTTATTTGGACTTATAATGGTTATTTGTATTCAGAGTGTCTGGTTGCTGTAGGTATTGGGAATAAGAGTCAAGAATGAATGGTGTTTGCAGTGAATAAAGTAATTGTTTGGGAACAATGGTAGTGATAGTCAAAGCTTGTATGGGCGTCAGTGTAGCAGATGTCAGTGAGCTCTAGGTAGTTCATTAAATGCTGAAACGTTGTATGCTTTTAAGGGGTGATATGCAAAATACTGTTTTATCACTTACCACTGGGCTGCTGGTTTTCTAACTTGTTAGAATTGTCTGCTGAGAATTTCAGTCTCCTCATGGAACGGAGGTTCAGTGCTCAACCACTTATGTGCAGTGCCCACTTTGTGGTTATGCAGATGGTTAGTGAAAGTCAAAGCTTGTAGAGGGTTTAATAAAGCCAATGTCAGTCAGAGTATGTGGGATGGTGTGAATCTAAATTATGGAGCTCCTTGACAGCAGCCCAGCCACCATGATAGCAAAAAGTAGCAACAGTGTAAGAACACTCCGTGCACACAGCTGCTTTGCTTGGCTTGTTATCTTTATTGTTGGCTACGTACAGACCATGTGATCATCTGAGTAATTTTACTGCCTCTGAGATTTGTAGCCATTCTGGAATGCTGGCCAGGGGGGCTGAATGTTTAAGCTCATGATACCTGACAGATTAGATTTGGCAGAAACATCTTATTAATATATACTAGAGGCCCATAATTGCAGCTTATTCATGTCTTTTCCAGGATGTTGATATAAATTTTATTCCATCTTCTTTTGCAGCCAAATTGCCTATTTTGGAGGATATATCAAGCAACAACTTAAATCCAAAGCTGGATGATGTTGAGTTCATCTTGATTGAGGCCTATCATGAAAATCCACAGACACGCACACTGTTGTTTGTCAAGACTAGGGCTTTGGTGTCGGTAGGAATTTTTTACATTGTTATTTAATCTATATTTAACTATTAAATATCTATTATAATACTAATATAGGATTACAACCAGATGTGCTTATTTAACTAGCATTTTATATGCTGGCTAATTTTAGCCTACAAATAACAGATCCTGAGGGGACTACAAGGCAGTTATCCCTATTGAGTAGCCACCTTCATTTATGTTAAGCGGTTCTCTTGGATGCTGTACTGATATAGTTAGCAGTAGTAGTGCAAGTGTACTTGCACAGAAAGGAGACTTGTAATTGCTACTCTTTCTCATGAGGTGCAATATTGCTGTACAAGCTCATAACCTTGCATAATAGTAAAAAGGCAGAAAAGTAAGTGAAGAAAATCCCTCACTCACAAAAAACATGTAGCCGCAACTCATGAAATTAAATAAGCATAGATATACTGGTATTCATCATACTTATAGCAGTTCAAAAGGTGCTTTAAAAGGGTTACCTTCTCTGTGCTGGAATCCTCTCAGTAATCAAATGATACTTCACACAAGACAAGTTTGTTGATCCGCACTCATAGGAAATCCCCAAAAATACATCAGGAAGAAATCATAGAAAAAAATGCACAGAAAATACATATGGCAAGATACAAAAAACAGCAGTCCTAATATATGCTGTATTCGTCCAAGCATGTGAAAATGAAAAAAAAAGGTTGTTCGTGCACAAAATATAAAAAGTACAAAACCTGAGCATAGGACCACCCGCAGCTGCTGTACAAGGGGGATACCACCAAAGGAGCCGACCCTAAATAAAGATTAGAGAAGTCTTGGACGCATTTCGCACCACTCCGGGTGCTTTCTCAACATGGTTGAGAAAGCACAAGGAGTGGTGAGAAAGGCATCCAAACAATGTTGAGAAAGCACCCGGAATGGAGTGAAACACGTCCAGGGCTTCTCTAATCTTTTCTAATCTTACTGTAGAGTCAGCTTCTTTGGTTGTTTCTCATTTTTTGGAAAGTAGCTAAAACATTGAAGCCCCCCCCCAAAAAAAACTACATAATTTCTGACTGATTAGAAATATTCCAGCCGTGTAACCTATCGTATTTGGGCAATACTTGTATTCTTTACCTCAGTGGTCAAAAGCCTAATTAGAGTATGATAAAAAGTAGCAACCTTTGGATTTGTCATTGAGATATTGTAAATTTAAACATCCTATTTGTTGTAATCTACAGGCTTTGAAAAACTGGATTGAAGAGACCCCAGATCTCAGGTTCTTGAAACCAGATATTTTAATTGGAAGGAATAAAAGGCATGATAATATAGGTATGCTTAATTTACAGGTCATCTTTGCAGGCTGCAGTTGTGTCCTGGAGCTAAAATGTAAGACCAGTAATATTATGTGTAAAGTTTAAAAAAACATGCAACACTGTTACAGATACTTGGAGAAGAACCATTTTGCACAATCGAGAACAGAAATAAGAACAGAATACAGCGATAAGCCTCCTAATCCTAGCCAAAAAAAAGGAATAGGAAAGGGATGGTCAATCACAGTATCATACCATCAGACATATGGAGGGAGGTCACCTAAGCTGTGCTCTGGAGGAGGGGGTAACCCTTGAATAACTTTCAGGAAAATAATTGAACCTAATACACTCCACTGACAGGTGTGCAGCAGGAAGAGCACAGTGGTATGTAAGGAGATAAAAAAATAACCCTAGTACTTATTAAATTAATAACACATATAAGGTAGCTATAAGATAAAGGGAACTGATCAGAAGGTAAGGGAAAAAAAATCTTCAGACAGTCTGATATAGAGAGTGTTCACCTAATATCAACTGCTCTGCTAGACCGAAGTCCAGTCCTATAGGCACCTCTCCCCAAATATAAATCCCTTGTAGTTGTTGAATACGGAGGGGATATGGGGAATGTCCACTAGATAAAACCATCCTGCTCACCCAGAGTGGTCAAAAGAGGACAAGAAAATTGGACAAGCTGCCTTAACCCTATTTACCTCAGCACCACACAAAGCTAGTGCCTACCTGAACCAAACCATCCTAAGACTACCACAACAAACACAAAACAGACTAAGTGCACATGGGGCTATCCAAGTGAAAACAAAAAATCAAAGATGAAAAGAAACGCCCAAAGCGTGTTTCAGCGTGTACACACGCCATCGTCATTGTGCCCCTACTCATTGTGCTTACTCCTTTACCCTAGCTTTTTTCCTGACTTAGCTTATCTCTCCTTGACTTGTTCTCTCAACCTGTCTCTGTACTTTTGATCCTTGCTTGTTATTTGACCATTCTGTATCTCTCATATTTTAAGCCTGGTCATCTCTAAGGACCGGTAATACATGCCTCTTCCATTGCAGTCATAGATTTGCTTATTGGGATTGAACATTCCTGACATTAACACTCTGAGCCATTCACTGAGTTCCAGACTAGTTCCAGACTAGAAGGAAGTGCTCATTGTGTTCTTTATCTATCTGAGGTGCCAGCACTGCATCTACCCACATGATCAAACAATATCCCATAATATCCCTGCCATACCACCAGAGTTTATATCTCCTCATCCACCAAAATCACCCCCCACATATACAAAACACACCACTCAGCTAGCTCACACAACACTCATCCAACCCACAGAGACACACACATCACTAAGCCAACCTACACAAAACTGAACTAACCCACACAACACTCAGCCTAGGGTCTTTCAAGGGGGTGTGTCTTCATTGGGTGCATGGGGATGACCTTCATCTATTCCTGCAACATGCTCCTGTGGTTTCTAGCTGTCCCTGCATGGACATTGTGCCCATTCCAACCAGTGCATTGGGGATTTGGGGTTTAGGTTAAGAACCACTTATACGTTAATGAACTGGAAAGTCTTAAGCTCACTTATTTTTGCAGCTGGGTTATTTTGTCTTGTAATTTGTAATGCTCTGATTAAATCCCATCAACCTTCTGTTTAGTGAATAGCCTTGTAATTTTGTGGGCTACAGATGGTTTTGTTCTTATGTTATTCTCTGTATGTTTTTAGAACTATTACAGTAGAAAGGAGATGGCAAAGCTTAATAAGCAATTCTTTATGTCATCTCTGGTTGTATTTTGTGTATCTATTAAACATGGTAATTAAGATAACAATAAAACACATAATAGCTAAACGTTTTATATAAATATATACCTTCTTTTTTCAACATCTAAAATACCAAGTTCATGCTGTACAATAATATCTAAACTTCTAAAATGATATACCCTTTCCTTGTCTCTCTACTCTGTTTTATGTTACAGGCATGACCTTACCAAGTCAGAAAGGTGCACTGGAGTCGTTTAAAACCAATAGTGAGAGCAAGCTGTTAATTGCTACATCAGTGGCTGACGAAGGCATTGATATACCAGCTTGCAACCTTGTCATTCTGTATGAATATGTGGGCAATGTCACCAAAATGATCCAAGTTAGAGGTACAGAAAGCCACTGCCAATACTTGGCCACTAGGGTATCTAGAAAGACACGTTTTACCCCCCGCATTCTTTAGATAAGAGATCTCAAACTACCAACTACTAGGTCATCAAACCACTAGCCTTCTTCATTCCTGGCAGATTGCCATGTCTCCAGTATACTTGCTGGCTAATTTCTCCCACCTAATGTAATGCAGCTTAGCAGTATCCTGGCCAAGTCCAAAACAATGTTCTTCTAACAGAACTGATTATGCATTGCAAAACGAATGCATAATCAGCTTATGCATTATGTGTTAAGTGGATGGAACATGATAGATTGTTATATCATGTTTCTCCTGCAATGGAGAGAAGATGAAGCTAAAGAAGTTGAGAGGCAACTTGAGGCACATGGTGTGTGTGTGTGTGTGTATCCGTCACTGTTTGCTTATATTTATGAGTTTGTACCTATGGATATACTTTGTGTCTGTGTATACAAATATGTATCTGTGTGTGAGGTTTAATGTACAGAGTATTATGCACAGTTTATAAAATACAGCATACGATTAAAACTGCAAATATGTATCTGTGTGTGAGGTTTAATGTACAGAGTATTATGCACAGTTTATAAAATATAGCATACGATTAAAACTGCTGGTGAGAAGGCTAATGCAGTGCTGCAGGTTTGGGTTAATGATGTAGGGTTAGTGCTGAAGTATTATGTATATAGGAGAGCGAGTGTGTGTCCACGCATGTATCTTGGAATATGGGTCTGTGTATGGGTATTCAAGAGTACGATCTGCAGCTTCCATGAGAGGAAACAACTTTGTCAAGTGCCTTCAAGTAAGCAGAGTTTCAGACCACCGCTTTAAATCTAATCATTTCACTTAGGTTACTTAGCCCAGCCATGCTCATTTGTTTGACGTATGTCTACCCTAACATCAGCTACTAAAATGCGTGTAGACCTAATTTTTTTAACTTATATGATGTAAACCAATACTTCCAATCAGGGATGCATTATATTTTTCTCTTGTTCTTAAATGATGCTCCAGTAGAACTTAGAAAGGGAGCCATGATGTACAGTCACCATTTAGTGCAAAGAATGTTTTTTGTTCAATCCCAGAATGTCTTTAATGATAAATTATGCACAGGTCGAGGAAGGGCAAAGGACAGCAAATGCATCCTAGTGACAGGTAAACGAGAGGAAGCTGAAAAGGAAAAAATGAATCTGCTGCACGAGAAATTAATGACTACAGCTGTGGAAAATGTGCAAAATCAAAATAAGCAGGATCTCCAGAAAATGGTAAGCACTGACTAAACACAGGTGTTGTGTAAAGAAAGGTCCATCCATTTGTATTTAATGTAAGTTAAACTTGGGCAGCTTTTTGTCATTACGTAAAACTCCATATTCCTGGCTAATTATGGCATCACTTATGGGTAGCTCCTCCCCAGCTGTCACAGGACAGGAATTAATTAATTGAATTAATCAGACTGATAGGTATAAAGAGTCCCTCCTCCCTCCATACCATAGTCATTTTTTCCTCTCAGACAATCAGGAATTTATATCCTACAAATATTTGCTTTTTTTGGCCACTTTGTTTGAAGAACTCAGTAAACAGCCTGTATATACAGGACAAACTGAGTTAGGTTCAGTATAGGAACTGGACTGCAACATTTGAATAAGGAATGACCTAATTTACTAGTAAGATGTTTGTATAGGGGTTGGTGTTGCCTTAAAAAAATCCTCTTTATCGGTCATTCTAACCCTAGAATTGGGTTATGTTCCCTTAAGAGCCATTTGTATTTTGTAGAAGTCATTTATTAATGCGTCTGGTCATATTGGTTTTCTTGTTGAATTATGTCTATAAATGATTTGATCGATTAAGGGTTAAAGTGGAGTTTCTTCTCATCTTATATCTTGGGAGAAGGGTTTATGGTTAGATTGTAGTGGGATTGTTCTTGGAGCATTCCCTCCCCTAATCAGAGTATATTCTAATATTTCCTGCCTTACTTTTTAGCTGTAAGCTTCCTGATGCCCAGCTCCCTTCTGAGTTCGGCCTTCAGTGAAGGTTTTGACTTCCTGCGGGTCGCGCAGGGTATGACGTATTTGGAACGCATGGTGTGCAGTCCATCATAGGGCGCATGCGCGAGTCAACGCTTTTAAAGGGTAACCGTGCAATTTCAAATTTAACTAGTTTCGGTTCTGGAGATTCTCTTTATGCTGTGTATTGTCCTGCTTGTTGCAAGTTGCTGACCTGGGCTTTCAGTTATACGGTTAAGGTATTTAAATATTTTTTATTAATTGGTATGAATTTATATTTTATCTCATGGTATTTGGTGATTGATAGACATTCTTAAATTTTCCTTTTAGTATAGCTTCTCCCTCTGCCTCTAGAAGATCTGATTCCAGAAAACATAGGTGAGCCAAATACATTTTTAAGAGGGTTTAAAAGAGTGCCACTACGGGCTAGTAATATATTTATACATGGCCTCTTATTTTCAGCCCCAGCAAAACTATTGATTCACCTCCAAGAAAATTTAAGAAGAAATCCAACACATGCTTAAACTGTAATTAAATTGCTCCAGAAGGGAAAAACCTTTGTAGAGCTTGTCTAACAGAAGTAGCGGAGGATGTCAAAAAAATAGTTCTCCTCAGGAAGAATTGAAGCTTTGGATTTCTCTGGCTATAGCAGAGGGATTCAGGTCTACCAAAGGTTTGGTATCATTAACTACTCTATCAAGATCATTAAAAGTCAGGCTAGAAAATTTAGAATAAGAGATTGAAAGCGGGGTCCATAGAGAACATCTGATTGAAAGTCTGAAAGACTTTAAGATAGCTACAGAGTTTTGCTCGGAGGCTTCATTGGATATCACAAGAATGATATCCAAAAGTATGGCGTTATCAGTAGTTTCGAGAAGGGCTCTATGAATACACTCTTGAGGAGCAGATTATGCTTCAAAAGCTTCTTTGTGGACTTCCTTTTCACCTGCTATTTGGGAAAGTCCTAAATGAGGCTATACAGAAGGCAGCACAAGGGAAATCTGCCTTTTTACCCATAGTGAAAAGGAGACCCATTTCTTCATCATGGCAGAATAAAATATAAAGAGATTGCTGCTTTTGAGAGAATAGAAGCTATAAATCTGGAAGAGTTTTTTCCAGGAACGCTAGTTGGAGAAACTACTCTTAGACATCTTTCAATAAAAACTCAAGAGGTAAAGGATTTAGAACAAAAATGTCTGAAGGTCTGCAGGTCCAACCCGTGAAGATTTGAGGAAGACATCAAATGTAGTATCCTGTTTGGACCAAACACTGCACAGATGAGTGGGTTCTAGCTATGTTAAGAGACGGATATAGAATAGAATTCTCCCATTATCCACAAATTTCAAAATTCAAGAAATCAAAAGTATCAAAGGTTTAAAAAGAAGAGGCTATGAGAGATTGTATTCTCAAACTACTGACACAAAGTGTACTAGAAGAAATTCCAAATGAGGAAAGCTTCAAAGGAATTGACTCTACAGTAGCAGAGACTCAAGGGAAATGGAGACTAATTTTGGACCTAAAAAAAACTAATTCTATGCTCATAAGAAGAACTTTCAAAATGGAATTGATGGCTAAAATCACAAAAAACATAAGAGAAGAAAAATGGATGACATTTAATGGATGACCATGTAAAGTTTCTACAGTTCTGCATTTTGAGGAAGCATTATCAGTTCAGGCGTCTTCCCTTTGGAGTGCATTTGGTAAAAAAAAACAAAAAAAAAAAACATTCTCCAAGACTTTAGTAACCTTGATTGCCTTTATAAGAAGAAAAGATAATATCCTTATTGTAGGTCCTTCTCGTCAGACAGTTCTTCATACGCAAGTGGTAATGAATATCTTACAGGGTCACGGATGGCTGATAAACACAGATAAAAGCTTGTTGAATCCCTCTCAGAGAATAACCTTCTGTCACGGGTTGCAGGGTCTCTTAGTGTCCCTTGGTTGCCGCTTCTCTAATCCTCTGCTTGTCCTGGATTCAGCTACAGCATACAATGATTCTAGCCCTCTGGAACCTTGTAAAAGTCCCCAATATAGTGGACAAGTCATATTGGGTAAAAGATGAGAATTTTTATTTCAGAGAAAACACATGCCTTTATCCCCCTACACACAACAGGGGGTCTCCATACCATTACACACAAACTTTCACCAATGGGAATACAGAACAGGTCACAAAGAAAGAACTCCAAAGCAACAAAGCGACTCCCCACACTAGCCACCACCTCCCCCTGTGCCAACACACCATGACAACAAAAGGTTATCTTGGTTGGACCCCCTGTCCCTTCAAAGCAATCTCTGGATACATCAGCACAGCCCTTTGCTGTAGAAGATAGACTTGCTGGCTCCCACAGCAGGTGGTCACTCACAGTGCACCATTTAACTTGATTAACACACAGAATACATTTTACACCTAACTATACTTTACAGTCTATAGAACTGCTCCCACCCCCACCCCCACCGTTGACCCACAGCTGTGCATACAGACACACACACATACTGCTCTATGTAAAATACAGGCACACAACACAGCGATATCTAGACACATGGAAAACAGTCACAAAAATGGCGCCGCAAGGTGTGGTAATAGACACTACATTTGTACAAATCAACCTGTCTCCAGAAAGAATCCTCAAAATCAACGGGAAGATCAGGAAGGTACAGACCCATTCAGATGTGTTTTCTCCGACAAATCGACAAGAAGAAGGAAATTGGGAACAGGAGTTAACAGTTCCTCTCTCTCTATAAAACAAGAACTGAATTGGTGGAAGGAATACAAAAATCTGAGTTAAGGATTCCCACTGGAAGAACCAATGTGACATATAATACTCACAGACCCAAGTTCTTATGGCTGGGAAGCCTATTACAAGTCCTTATGGAAACAAGGGAAGTGGACTTACCGAAAAAGTTGCCTACACTTGAACCTGAGGGAACTGAGAGCTATATAAAATGCCATAAAAGTATTCATTCCATTTCTCAGAAATCCATGGGTCATGATAAGAACAGACAACAGTGCAGTAGCCTCGTACATAAATCATCAAGGTGGCACTCACAGCAGAGTCCTTCTAATGGAACTGACTCCATTGATTAAATTGTCTCAATCAAGTTTGCAAGGTCTGAAAGCGGTTTACCTTCCAGGAAAGAAGAATACACTAGCAGACTATCTAAGCAGATCAAATATTCACCTAGGAGAGTGGAAGCTTCATCCAACAGTATTCAAGAGCATTACCCAGCAGTAGGGCATGCCCCCATATCGATCTCATGGCAACAACAAAGAATCGTCAGGTTCTGAAATTATTCTCTCTGCATTCGACTCTACTATCAGCAGGTCAATATGCTCTATTGCAACTTTGAGAATTTGATCTGGGGTATGCATTCCCTTCTCTACCCATGATTTATCGATTCCGGAGGAAAGTTTGGTCAGAAGAAACGAGTCATTGCCATAATTCCAAGGTCATGGTTTCCATTATTGATTAAACTGAGTCAAGGGAATCATTGGAGGCTTCCATTGAGGAAGGATTTGTTGAGCCAGGGCCCAGTTCTTCATCCTTATCTAGAAAATCTCAAGTTAGGGGCATGACTCTTGAAAGAGAGACTCCAACATCTACGCCTTTCAGAAGCCGTAATAGATAGTCTTTTGAAATCCAGCAAAAACTACATCAGATTGTTACCACAGACTTTGGGATACTTTTCAGAATTGGATATCTATTAAGAATATTGAATTTCTCAATCCTTCTAACACTCAGGTTTTGGAATTCTTACAGGAAGGATTGGATAAGGGCCTTAGCCTCGCTACACTGAAGGTTTAATAATCAGCATTATCAGCACTGTGTAATGTTTCTTGGGCATCAGACCCGCTGATTTCAAGATTTTTTTTTTTTTTTAAAGCAGCTTTAAGAATTCGGCCTCCCACTAGATCCTGCTCTCCTGCATGGGATCTCCCACTGGTATTGAATGCCTTAACTGAAAGTACTTTTGCTCCTCTGGAAGACTTGAGTACTACTCTTCTCACTTACAAGACGCTTTTTTTGATAGCTATAACTTCCGCTATAAGAATATCCAAATGTAAAGCCTTCTCGTCCAGTGAATCCTATAAACAAATATACCAGGACAGGGTGTGTTTAAGAACTAGGCCAGAATTCTTCCTAAGGTAGTTTCAGAATTTCATCTAAACCAAGAAGCGGTCCTATCTTCTTTCTATCCTAATCCTACATCAGAAAAAGAATGTTATATCTCCTTCCACCTCATTTGGCAGAGGTGTTTTGTCTTCTGTGTCCTTATCTCATGAAATAAATCTCTCCAGCATTTATTGCAGAGCGTTCCCCCCCCCCCCCCCCCCTTTTTCTTTGTATATTAGCTTGGGTATTACCCATAAGTGATGCTGCCATGATTAGCCAGGAATAAGGAAAATCTATTTTTAACATACCATAACTTTCTTTTCTTGGCTATTTTTCATGGTAGCATCAGGTTCCCACCCTTTTCTTTCAGCTTTATAATTTGACTGTGGTATGGTGGGAGGAGGGACTCTTTATACCTATAAGTCTGATTAATTAAATTAATTCATTCCTATCCTGTGACGGCTGGGCAGGAGCTACTCATAAGTGATGCTGCCATGAAAAATAGCCAGGAATAGAAAATTATGGTACGTTTAAAATAGATTTTACAATACATTTTCCTTATTAATAACTTTATCACTTCAACGATTCATACAAAGCAAGTTTAAGTTACATATTATTTGGCTTATAGAGAACAAATATCGACCAGGTGACAACTCTATGGGTTAATTATGTATATTTACACAAGTGAAATGTTTACGTTATACAGTCATCCATTGCACACATATGGGGGAGTATAAATATTGTAGAGACTATAAGACTTCTCTTAGTCATGTCTGAAATATGCATTTACAATTGGAAATACCATATGTCATACATTAGGAGTGAAAATAGTTATAACTCAATGGTGCAATACTGTGCTTATTGATACATGTTAGGAGTTGATGGTATTATGAAATTAACATAGAAACATAGAATGTGACAGCAGATAAGAACCATTCGGCCCATCTAGTCTGCCCAATTTTCTAAATACTTTCATTAGTCCCTAGCCCTATCTTATAGTTAGGATAGCCTTATGCCTATACCACGCATGCTTAAACTCCTTTACTGTGTTAACCTCTACCACTTCAGCTGGAAGGCTATTCCATGCATCCACTACCCTCTCAGTAAAGTAATACTTCCTGATATTATTTTTAAACCTTTGTCCCTCTAATTTAAGACTATGTCCTCTTGTTGTGGTAGTTTTCTAAAATAAATGCACTCATACATTAAGTATGGTTAAATCAAGTGTTTGTACAGTATGCAAAAAACACAAAACCTGTATTGTGTTCAGTGAGGTCATATCCATCATCTCAGAATGCAGTCATTAATTTTGACCTATAGAAATTGCCAAATTGTGGGAGGGGCTACCATGCTCTCTCCCCATACAGAAGCAAAATGACAAAATGAAGCCATCACATAAACTGATCAGCCACTATATTAAAAAACAGCTGACTAATATTGTGTAGGTCCACCTCATGATACCAAAACAATTCTGATGTGTTGAGGCTTAGACTTCAGACCTATGAACATGTCCTGTAAAGACATCAGCAACAGATTATTTAAATCCTGCAAGTTGCAAGGTGGGGCCTCCATGGATTGGCTTGGTCATTTCAGGACCAAATCAGGAATTTGGAGGTCAAGGCAACACCTTGTACTCTTTGTCATGATCCTCAAGCCATTCCTGAACAATGTTTGCAGTGTGCATTTTCCTGAAGAGGCTACTGCCATCAGGAAACACCATTGCCATAAATGGGTGTATGTGGTCTGCAAGAATCTCTAGGTAGTTGGTACGTGTCAAAGTAACATTCACATATAGGCCAGGACCCAAGGTTTCCCAGCAGAACATTGCTCAGAGCACAACACGGTCTCTGCTGGCCTGACTTCTTCCCATAGTGCATGCTGCTGCCATCTCTTTGCCAGTTAAATGACGCATCCACCTGTTCTAAAAGAAAATGTGTTTTATCAGATCAGGCAATTTTCTTCCATTTCTCCATGGCCCAGTTATGACACTCACGTCCCACTGAAGACAGGGTTCATCATGGGCACTCTGACCAGTCTGCGGCTGTGCAGCCCCATATGTAGCAAACTGCAGTTCACTGTGTTCTGACACATTATCATGGTCAGCATTAAGGTTTTTCAGCAATTTGAGCTGCAGTAGCTCTTCTGTGTGATACCTAGCCTTTGACTCCCACATGCATCAATGAGCCTTTGGGCCCATGACACTGATGCCGGTTAACCTGTGGTCATTCCTTGCACAAATTTTGGTAGGTACTAAGAACTGCATATAAATAACACCCCACAAGACTTTTGTGGATGTTCTGACCCACTCGTCTAGCTATCACTATGTGGCCCTTCAAATTTACTCAGATCTTTTCGCTTGACCATTTTTCTTGCTTCCAACACATGAAAGGTGCCATTGTAACAGTATGGAAAAAATAGCACTGAACTCTTAAGAGAAACCTCATTATAGATTGTAGTGCAAAAAAAAAATAAAAACTGAAATATCTTTAAAAAAAATTTGTACTCATAGGGCAATACAGTATAAACCGTGATAATACTAAAGTTTCAAGGTCTCACAGACAAAAATTTTAATAATTCAGGCTCATCAATATGATGCTGGTTCCAAATCAGTAGTGGGTAGGCTCATGTAAAAGGAAACAAAAGCAAAACATCACTATGCACTGTGGTAAAAATAACAGACACTTTATTAGGTTACACTCACAAGATAAAAGTTAAAAGAATGCCGATCAACGTATATGTCCTGTAGACATCGGTCCTGGTCCAGAGTGGTATGGTGAAATGTATACTCCAGTTCAAAGGTAAATAAAATATAAATTGTAAGCAGCCTAATTTTGTGTTTTATTATATTTTTCTAGATTATGCAAATTCAGAAGAGTGAAAAAACCCAACGTGACTTAAAGAAGATTATTAAGGGACCAGAGCTGACAGAAGAAAACAAGAGGCTGCTGTGTTGGAAATGCAAACGATTTGCATGCAATACAGATGACATTCGAGTTATAGAGGTAGGTATCCAGAGAAAGCACAACCATCTACTATGGTTGCAATCATTAAAATGTGCCACGTTAGGACTTAAAGTGACCATCAACTGGTCATCAGGTGGGGAACTTAAAAATAAAAAAAAATAAAAAAAAGTTATGATGGTCTATATATAAAATGTTTTTATCAGTAAGAGCACTCATGAGTGTATTGAGACTTGGCAGTCAGATTACTCTCCCACTGGGTATAATTTTGGACATAAGGTGGGAAAGCCTTTATAAGCCAGGGGTTTTTAACTATTTGCTCACTGGCTGCTACTGTCACCAGTGAGTTAATAATTGATCATTTAAAAAAAAAAAAATAATAATAATCCTGGAATCCAGACCAAATTCAAGTTTGTTCGAAGCCTAAGTTGCAAAATCATTGTTGAATAGCGTGACCAATGTCTGGATTTTCTGTCCAAATGACCCCATATTCAGCTGGATGGCTTAATGAATAAGCTTGTGAGTTTAAATACAACTAGGTTTTATTCACAAATTGTTCACCAAATTACACAATGTAGGCCAAACCTACTGGATTTTAGTGTAAATTGTGCAACTTGGGTTTCAATTTACTACAATTTGCTGTTTAGTGAATTAACCCCAGGTGGTTTAACATAGTCCCTTACAATTTATTGTTTTATCTTGCCTGCAGGAAGCTCATCACACAGTTATTGATAGTACCTTCAAAGAACGCTATATTACAGAACCTCATAAAAAGCCACGTGGTTTCTCTGGCTATACAAAAAAGTTCAAGATATTCTGCAATAATACTCAATGCAAAGAAGATTGGGGAATTTCTGGCATCTACAAAAACTTTCAGGACATCCCTCTGATAAAAATTGATAAGTTTGTGGTGGAAAGCAAAAATGGAAACCAAGACTATGTCAACAAATGGAATAAAGTCAATTTTAGAATGAAGGAATTCTCACCAGAAGAAATATCAGAGTCTTTCTCTGCTAGCACATAATACTATAAAGGGATACTATAGGGAAGAAGTGACACTCTCAAATTTTTCTATTACATATATTCATGATTAAACAATATCTAAAAAAAGGGGGGGGGAGAAATACTTAAGATGAAAGTTATATTTACAGTCATCAGGCAAGAGACTCTTATTCTGGCCTATGAGGGTTTTCATAAACTCCTGCTGGGGAGAGGTTGATGGTGTACATAGTTTGTCTCTCAACTGTAGTTCCACTTATCTAAGCTGATAGCAGCAGTGTCACAGGCCTCTTCACAATTCTGTAAACCATGTGCAGTGATTGCTCAAGCCACTAACAGTGTATCTATGCAGGCACAGTTCAGGCTGTCTTCACATGAATACAGTTTGCTATTCCACTGCACGTGAAAGTTGGACAGATCTTGGACAACAGTGGAGGAAGTAGGAATTTTCCATTTTGACATGTGAGAGCCAGGCGTTCGGCTTTTAGTTACTGGGATTTTAGCTAAAACGCAGCAGTTATAAACAATTCTCAGGCGGAGGACATGTACAATAACTTTTGCAATGATGCAAAGTTGTTGTGGTACTTAGGGTGAACCTTTCACCAATACAAATATTTGTATAACTTACGAATATGAAATGGCATACTTCATGTTATGCACCCTTAAATTAGACATGTCACCTTCCGTCACTACCTAAGTCAGTTATGTTATCATTTATCCTTGTTTATTCATTTAAACTCTGTGGTGGAGAATGTATCCACACAGATTTCGGAGAAGAAAGGACCGTTATCTGAGGAAGAAGATTGATAGACAAGTTTCAAGGTGTTTCTGTATGTACCTCCGTTTAGGGTTCTTTCAAGCTTTGCCTGTGTACCTGGCAAGTGTATCCACACAAAGATAGGTTCAAAAAAACCTTCATGTGAAGACACCAGGCAATTTAAATTTTAATCTATTAAAATGAGATTCCAGCCTGTGTTACATATAGGACAGCCAAAGACAGGTTGTGTTCTTTAACCATCTACACAGCTTCCAGTGTACAAATGGATTTGTAAACACTGATCTGATCTTAGACCCTCATGCACTACTATTTCAAAAACAAATAGCCATCTATACATAACAATAGCACAACTTCCAGAATCTGTGTAATCATTGTATTTGTGGTATTAACACTCATGTTAAAATTAATTGTAAAACTGTTTTCTATTTGCATTTAATAAATAAATAAGCAACACAGGCTGCCTTTTCAAATAATATTCAGAACACATACATTGTTGTCCATTAACATGCTCTGCTAATGAATGCTATTCAAATATGGACAGATTTTATTTTGCTAATAAATAAGTGGAATTTCAAAAATGTCAAATGCAACCAAGGAGCATGGCGCAGTGAGGGCTTGAAAACAATTGGAGACAGAACCCAGAAATAGTGCCAGGGGTATGCTGAGCCCATAACCGCTAATGCAGACTATAGTGCTTGTAATGTTTACATACATAAAAATATTATATTCTCCAGAAGATGTAACACTCTTAAAAATATATTTATTTGGGTTGATTTTACAAAGTAGTTTTATGCTTATATTTGCAAAGAACAAAGCAAAATCAAGGTCACTGAAAAGTTTGACAGGGATGAAGTAAAACTGAAGATTCACATTTATTACGTTTCAGACAATCTTTTAAACTATGCATGATCCAGCGTAAATAAACTCTTCAGTAAAGGCTTCCCACAATACCAAGTGGCAGAGTTCTTCGGTGAAGTCAAGATGTTTTCAGAAGAGGTTCCAGAAGTTGTCACCATGTAGGTCCCGTAGAGAACAACTGGAGACAAACATTCACAGTCATTAAGGATGGTTTTGCATAAAATGGGTATTATCAGTGTGTGTCAAACTAAATTTCTTTGGTTAATTGATGGTCAAATACATCATAACTTGCATTTCATGTCAGTGATTAGCCCAATTATAAATCATGAATGCCCTTTTGTGATAAGTGAGAAGAGTGATGTATACAGTAATCTGACAAACCCTTATAATGGTCTTTTGCACAGCCTGTCAGAGAGAGAATGATAATTGTATGAAGCTGAGGAAAAGCAAATTGAACACTGAATAATGTTCTTTTACAGACTTGCAAAGTAAGTCACCGACACAATCACAGTTGTGATGAGAAAGATAACATGGCTTTAAATGCCAACGTAAAACACATTTCCATTATATATACACCAGCTGTTCACAAGCTTTTTTTTTTTTTTTACAATATGGCACACAACAATGTGAGGAAAATTTCCAAGAGACTGTTTATTTTACCATTTTACCATTATCAGCAGCTTATATAGAGTCAGGTTCATAAATATTGGGACATCGATACAATTCTAATCTTTTTGGCTCTATACACCAACACAATGAGTTTGAAATGAAACAAACAAGATGTGCTTTAACTGTAAACTTTCAGCTTTAATTTGAGGGTATTTACATTCAAATCAGGTGAACGGTGTAGGAATTATAACAGTTTGTATATGTGCCTCCCACTTTTTAAGGGACCAAAAGTAATGGGACAGATTAACAGTCATAAATCAAACTTTCACTTTTTAATACATGGTTGCAAATCCTTTGCATCAATTACAGCCTGAAGCCTGGAACACATAGACCTCACCAGACGCTGGGTTTCATCCCTGTTGATGTTCTGCCAGGCCTCTACTGCAACGGTCTTCAGTTCCTGCTTGTTCTTGGGGCATTTTCCCTTCAATTTGTCTTCATCAAGTGAAATGCATGCTCAATCGGATTCAGGTCAGGTGATTGACTTGGCCATTGCATAACATTCCACTTCTTTCCCTTAAAAAACTCTTTGGTTGCTTTTGCAGTATGCTTCGGGTCATTGTCCATCTGCACTGTGAAGCGCCGTCCAATGAGTTCTGAAGCATTTGGCTGAATATGAGCAGATAATATTGCCCGAAACACTTCAGAATTCATCCTGCTGCTTTTGTCAGCAGTCACATCATCAATAAATACAAGAGAACTAGTTCCATTGGCAGCCATACATGCCCACGCCATGACACTACCACCACCATGCTTCACTGATGAGGTGGTATGCTTTGGATCATGAGCAGTTCCTTTCCTTTTCCATACTCTTCTCTTCCCATCACACTTGATCTTGGTTTCATCTGTCCATAGGATATTGACCTTGGTCTCATCTGTCCATAGGATATTGTTCCAGGACTGTGAAGGCTTTTTTAGATGTTGTTTGGCAAACTCTAATCTGGCCTTCCTGTTTTTGAGGCTCACCAATGGTTTACATCTTGTGGTGAACCCTCTGTATTCACTCTGGTGACGTCTTCTCTTGATTGTTGACTTAGACACACATACACCTACCTTCTGGAGAGTGTTCTTGATCTGGCCAACTGTTATGAAGGGTGTTTTCTTCACCAGGGAAAGAATTCTTCGGTCATCCACCACAGTTGTTTTCCGTGGTCTTCTAGTGTTGCTGAGCTCACTGGTGCGTTCTTTCTTTTTAAGGATGTTCCAAACAGTTGATTTGGCCACACCTAATGTTTTTGCTATCTCTCTGATGGGTTTGTTTTGTTTTTTCAGCCTAATGATGGCTTGCGTCACTGATAGGGACAGCTCTTTGGATCTCATATTGAGAGTTGACAGCAACAGATTCCAAATGCAAATAGCACACTTGAAATGAACTCTGGACCTTTTATCTGCTCCTTGTAAATGGGATTATGAGGGAATAACACACACCTGGCCATGGAACAGCTGAGCAGCCAATTGTCCCATTACTTTTGGTCCCTTGAAAAGTGTGAGGCACATATACATACTTTTGGAAATGCCTACACTGTTCACCTGATTTGGATGTAAATACCCTCAAATTAAAGCTGAAAGTCTGCAGTTAAAGCACATCTTGTTCATTTCATTTCAAATCCATTGTGGTGGTGTATGGAGCCAAAAAGATTAGAATTGTGTCGATGTCCCAATATTTATGGACCTGACTGTATGTCTCATTAACTCTCAGCCTTGCTAAACGGATATACGTAATTCTAGCCAAACATATTTACTGGTTTTACCAATTGCTAGATGTGAATCCCAGTTTCAGTTCACTTGTTGAATGTATTACAACCCTGAAGTAACTGTGTTGGCATACTTTAAGATGGCTTGAGATACACTGGGTGAAAACCACTGGTATTTGCTATAGTATTTGATTATTATTTAATACAATTATTTTAAAAATTACAAAACATTGTTGGGTTAATACTAGACAGCACCACCATAAATGGGTTAACAAGACATTTAAGTAATTAGCAATTGCTATTTAATAAAATCAATTTTAAACAAATGTATATATTTTATCAATGTGTGCAGTTTTAGTTGTTTCACTAAATCTCGAGTTTTCTCCCCGAGTTGAGAATGATTATAAGGAAATTGTTGACTATTTCAGCTCCCTAACTGCTACCAAGTTTAGTGCTAAATTCGAGATCCCATTGGACTTGTTTTGAGAAAATCATTGAATAGCAAATGTGCTGATGACTTCAAGACCAACTTACAAATAGACTTAAATCAGACGTATGAATACAAAAGAAAAGGTGCTCACTATACACTTCAATAAACAGGCAGCAGACAATCTTCACAAGGATACCCCAAAACCTTGTGCAAATATGAAAATACAAAAAAGATCTATATAGCCGCTCCTAAAATGATAACCTTTCTGTGAAGTCACATAACAGGTATATATACATACATATGTTGATATAATTTTCTGTTCAGATTTATACAGTTTTTGGGAATCTCAAAAAAACAGACAAAATAATATTAGTGCAATATATCAAATAACAGAAGAGTGAGATATATTACGCCAAAATCACACTCACACTTTCAAGAGCTTCTAAGAGCTCTGCTGTATAAAGTGTTGACGGTACAATCCCTGTCTCAGGATATATGGTCGGCAGAAGTAGTGGTAGATCTTTCCAGTACGTCACATGTATAAAAAGACAAACAGGGGATTATCCAATAGTGCAGTTAGTATGGTAAACTAACTG